AGGTAGAATTAATTTTAACAATATACTTAATCCAATATACCCTAACCATCAGTTCACTATATTATCAATATCAAAAAATTGATATTTTACATTCTCTTTTTGTACCAAGTCTTCAATCCACTGTATTTTTTACTCAAAGCACACGTCTATTTGAATTAGACACATTTCAACTGCTCTAGAGCCAACATATTAGACAATGCACCCCTGATCTTCCCTTTACTCAGAGTGTAGAGACTGACTCCAGGATGAAGCCCCCTCCCCCAAAATCTTTACCCATTTGCCAAAGGACTGTCAAGCCCCTTAATCAGAGTCTGACAGGTGGAAACCACCTCAAGGCATAGGTAACTACTCAAGGGATACCTGTTTTGAGGGTGCTGATGTAAATTCCCATTGCTTCTCTGAGAAGTTTCACCCCTTCTTCTTTCATTAAGGCCACGAGATTTGTGTCAGGCTCATCTTTGGCAAGGCTCACACTAATCTGGGTGAAAGATCAGAAGTAGGTGGTAAATAACTTGAGGGGTACCTGCACTGTGGAGTGTGGGCGCTGAGCAATCAGATAACTGACGTTTCCAAAGGAAACGTATGAGGAGTAGGGTATCGGTAAAATCCCTGTGAATGTTCCTTCTCAAGTTCTCTCCGCCAAGGCAAAGGTGGCTAATGCCGGAACCCACATTACTACCTAAAGCAAAGTGGCTAATAAGCACTAGCTGCTCTGGAAGCTCCCAGTGGCAGCACTGACCTAGAAAGTCATCTGCAGCCTGTGTGGGCCAAGCTGGCCTTTAATTCTGAAATCATGTTTCTCATCTGAGAGTAAGAGGATGCGGAAGACTCAGGCGAGGAGTTAGGAAACACAAACCTCTACTTCATCCACGCTGTTTTCATCAGACAGATTGGGGATCTCCACGTGTCCCTTGTACTGCACTCCAGACTTAGAGGTACCTGTCAAAAGCAATGTGACAACATCGCATCTGTCTCCTCCTCTGCGAGAAAACCTGCCTGCTCTGGAGTCCTAACTACTACTCTGCTTACACTGCCTCTGGACAACCGAATGGGCCCCTTTTGTTCTGAGACTATGTGACATGCCTGATGTAGCAGACCTTCCTCCCTCAGCAGAAAGGTCTTTCCTCGTCAAATTTCTTGCAACCAAGTATGTCATCACAGGACCAAGAGCTACACGAATTCTACCGGGGAGTACTTGGATCAACAGCTAATACAGTCAGTTTTGCTAGAATGTTTACTTAGAAAATACAGATTTGTTCCAATGTGATTGAGACATTAGGGGACATTTGATCATATCATGAATTTCACGTCTGCTTATACGTGATTCCATCCATGAGAAACAACACTAGGTGAACATAAAAAACGACACCCAATTTAACCCAACTGCATAGGAACACACAAAACACATCTCAAACATTTACCTGCCAGTGACCTGTTCTCTATGCCTATTATAAGCCACACCCATAGCTGGAGTTAAAGTTCTTCTGACTTCAGACCACCCTCCTTCCACCACTCTACAGTGACGCACAAATCTACTGTCGCAAGGAAGCTTCAGGTCTTTTTCAAGGTAAAGCACCATACGTGTATTATTTATGCATTTCTTACCATTTAACATGTTTTAAACTGTGATCAATTTCTATGTTCCTAATTTTTTTTTGCTTAATCCTCATTTGAGGATAATTTTGCCATTTATTTTGAGAGAGAGTGGGAGCGAGGGAGGGAGGGAAGGAGACAGCAGAAAAGAGACAGACAGAAAGAAACATTGTTGTGAGAGAGATGCATCGATTGGTTGCCTCCGGCATGTACCCCAACCAGGCCAGGGATTGAACCTGCACCCTCCGGTGCGTGGCCGACGCTCTAATCACCGAGCAACACCGGCCAGGGCCACGTTCCTAAATTTTTAAAAACGTGTCACTGATGAAGCTTTTGGGTGTTGTGTGCCTAACCTTCTCTTCCCAATAAGCCCTATGGTTTTCATGAAGTGACTTTGCACAGCTCAGTGATTTTTAGGAATACATGTCTCATTATAGCAGAACTGACTGTATTTCAAAATTAACCAACAAAGCATTTACTTTTCACTTCACTAGGCCTCAGTTTCTCAATCTATGAAAAGAGGATGGGGCAAGATGATACCCAAGGTTCCTTTTAGACTACTATACTTTAGTAGTTAAAACAAAACAAACCAGATACATTTACTTTTCCCCTCTTTCAAACTCATTTGAAAAATGTTTATCGAAGAACAAATTTATTTTATGCTTTGCCCCCTACACATACTTCTTTAGTTTTTGGGCCTTTTGAAATTCCACCTCCCGACTGAAGGACCATCTAGTGGGAGATATGTATGGTTCTAATTCTTTGCTAACATCACAGAAAGGACAATAATCTATTGAATAAAACTGCCCCCAATTAGTCACATGTAAACTTTGTTAGCACAGCAGCCTAACCTGCTGGACTCACACTGAAGACTGTAAATAAGATCAAGACCAAAAAAAGCCCCCTTCCCACTTTTAAATCATCCAAGTGACAGAAGCAGCCACAGAATAAGCCCAAAAATACAGGGGCACAGCGGCTTCACTGTGGTGACTCTTGAGACTCAGAGAGGAAACCCATTTAGTGGCAGAGAAATTCCAGCATCTAATACTGCTTTCTATGAGACAACAAAGCAGCACTATCTCCCTTGAAAAGTTCATAACCTCTCAAAAACGGTTCTGCCCGGCTCCTTAACAGGTCAGTCAAAATGCAGATAAGAGCTTTTCTGACAGCCCAGTATAGACTCACCTGTCCAGTTTAATTTGATACTCCACTCATAAAAGAAGATCAGTTTGCCTTTGCGATTGTTAATGGACGCCTCTCCATCGAGTTTGTTCACTTCTGTCACCTCACACTTGCCCTCCTCATTTTGCACCCGAACTGCCAGGAACAGTGTCTTCAGCTTATCCGTGGACCAGTTTGAAGCATCCCTCTCTGTCCTGCAAAACAGAAACAAGGCTATAGACCAGCAGCCAAATGGAGTACTCTGCTTGCTCTAGTCAAGGAAATGCAAGGCTAAAGGAGGCCTGAGAAATAGTTTGAAAAGAACAAAAACCCCTCAGTCCCACTCCAGTAGGTCCACAAACATGTCACTCCCTTTTAGGAAGACAAGGAGCCACATACTGTCAATGAAGGCAACTGCTGAACAGAATGGTTACAAACTAAATCAGCAGGATGGAGTGGGGGTCAGTATTGACACCTTAATACGGTGCCATGGGACCTAGTGAAAAACTGTGTACACCTCACTGAAGTCAGGAGCACAAATGGACCTCAGAACGCATAAAAAGTCCAGGAAGGAATAAACCAATAATCTTGACCCAATTAGCACAGTGTTCTGACCTGTCAAGTTCAGGCTGCCCTACACAGTGTGTGCCCTCTAGATGGCCATGAAGACAATGGAAGCCCAGGGCTTCAAAACAAACAAAAATGAGGCCAAACACGCTGTGTACCTTAGTAGGAGAGGAAGCTGCCTGAGAAAGAGAAGAAAAATCACTATGTGCCTCGCAACTCACTAACTAGCAGAGGAGAATAGCAAAAAGCTGCAACAAAGTAAAAGCCCAGCGGAGACACTACGAACGAAGTTCGTTGCAGTTGCAAGATAAGAAAACGACTGGAAGGTTTCAGGAAGGAGAGTCGGCTTTTGAAGAGCGGTTCGGTTATAAAGCCATGCTCGCCAGGCAACCAGGAGCGGTCCCCGGAGTTACAACACAAGCGACCGAGCAGTTCCGGGTGAGAGACCAACGCGCCCTCACCATCCCCGAGCTCTGGGCACCTGGACAGCCCGCTCCAAACCTTCGCCCTCTGGACTGAGGCAGTGGTTCCTAGGGCTTAATTTCACCCGCAAGCAGTAAGCCACAAAACAGGAATTCCAGCCCCCAGGCCCCGAGCCTGACACAGCGATCTCCCAACACGACCCAAGCCCTCCGTTTGGGTCTCCCTGTCTCCTCTGACCACGTGTGGGAAACATCTCTCTGCTCAGGCTGGATGCAGAAACTAAGGGATTATGTTTTCACCTCTCTGAGACCTCTCCTCTGAAGACCACCTTCCACGTTGCCCCTGGCTCCCTAAACCCCGAAACGGTGACCCGGCAGCGGGGGGAAGGGGGGCGCTGGGGCTACGGACCACCGCAACAAGAAGAACCCACCCCGTGTCGGGCACGGCTGCCTCGGCCCCAGGGAGCCCACCACCCTGGCCCGGCCGCAGCGCTCCCGCGGCCTGGCCCGCTAGCCCTCACCAGTGCCAGTTGTTGACGTTGGTGGCGTCCGCCCGCTCCTCCACGATCCAGCGTGGGTCACCCTCGCCCCACTTGGCCATCAGCTTTCCGATCGCGCCGTCACCAGGTCTCGAGCAGCCACAGCAACCACCTCAGGACCGCCTGGGCCGGAGCAGCCACTGCAACCACCTCAATACCGCCTGGACCCAGCCGCCCGGCAGCGCCTAGAAACTACTAGAAGCGGCCGCAGAACCTTCTGGCTTGCTTTTCCCTCCACCCCCCACCCCCTTCCCGCCTTAACTTCCGGCTCCTCCTCACTCCCAGCCTGTACTTCCGTTCCCCTCACCGGACCTTGGCTTCCGCCAGTTAAAGGGCTCTTTTCAGGCTCCGTCAGGTTATGTCCCCAGGGTCCCGAAATTCATCCACTCATTTGACCGTTCCTAATCCGTCGGGGCCCAAAGAACTAGGCTCATTGTTTCCCTGGACCCCGAGTGGGCTCTGCTGAGCATCCTGGGAGTTGGAGTCTTGTTGAGTGACCCGCTGGGTAACTACGGAAGGTCGCGCTAGAAGTGAAGGAAACGACTTAGGCACCGTGCCCTGGAAATTCTGGGAGCTGTAGTTAACGATCCCCGCGGCCTTTCCGGGCAGCGCCGACTCCGGAGCGGAGAGAAACTACAACTTCCAGCATGCCCCGCGGCGTCTCTCTTGCCACAGGTGCCCTCTCGCCGCTCCTCCGGGCGAGGACCCTCTTCCGCCCCTATTCTATGCCGCGTAGCCAGTCTAGAGAGGCTTGTCTAGCGGCGGAAGAGCCTGGCGCGGTCCCGATTGGGAGGGCTCGGTGTGGAAGAGGTGAGGGTGTCCCAAACCCCTTGGGCCGCGGATCGGGCTGAGTCTAGCCTCTTCGCACCCCGATTTTTTTCCTCCTGTTCTTTGAGGCGTCTCTAGACACCCGCCAGGCCTGACTCTTCCGGTCGCAGCAACCCCGGGCTGGGAGACCAGAGTACGCTCGGGGTTGGAGCTGGGAATAAGCCCCGACATTTGATTTCAAGCGAGTATTTAGTCAACCAAGGACCCTCCGGGCTCTGGCAGCTGCGGTCGATCCGTGACTTCCTGGACGTTTGTCCCTAGTTTACCTCTCAGCCTCTGGTCTCAGTTTATAGCTTCATCCCAGCAGGCCTGGCTGGAGGAGGAAACCGAATCTGAATCTCACTTCTCAGCTGGTTTCTGGGATGTCCTGAGGCAGGGAAGCCTGTTGGTTGTGGATTTGTTTATTTATTGATGTTTTAGAGAGAGAGGAAGGGAGACAGAAACATCAGTTTGTTCCACTTACTTACGCATTCATTGGTTAATTTTTGTACCTGCCCTGACCAGGGGTCTAACCACAAGCTTGGCATTGGGACCACACTTCAACCAGCTGAGGTACCCGACCAGGGCCTGGTTGCGGATTTTTAATTTTTATTTTTTTCTGAATTCCCTGTTTTTCCTCCTTTGTCATGTTCCTGTTCTCCCCTTGTGGGCTCTCACTAAACAGGTGACAAGTATTTTAAATGATGTTAAAACACCTTTCTCGCTCTTAAAATTGTACCTGCTTGCTTTATAACTTCTAGAGCCACTAAATATTTACCTCTTTACTTGCCAAGTAAATCTAGGTTCTGATTTCACAGTAGACAGGCAAGTTGATGTCAAGCACCCATCTAAGTTGTGTGGTTAAAAAAAAGATTCCAGCCCTGGCAAGTCGCTCAGTTCCTCTAAGGTTGCGGTTTGATTCTGGTGAGGGCACATCCCTAGGTTGCGCTTTGATCCCTCGTGGGGGCGCATCTGCGAGGCAACTGATCAGTGTTTCTCTCTGTCTTCCTGCCTTTCTCTCTCTCTAAGATCAGTAGAAACATATCCTTAGGTAAGGATTAAAAACAAGAGTCCAGAAATCCTCTGTTGGGTTATTGGGTTTGTTAGACATATTCTCTGCCTATCTGTAGATATTTACAGATATTTATTTACTATAGTGAAGAACAACCTGCCCTAGTTTTCCTCAGAGTGAAAAATAGAAGGACCGTGCAAGTCAGGGTGGAAATGATCCAGGAGGCAGCAAGCCAGGATCATAGGAGCAATTAGCAAGGTGGCTTTGATACTTAATCCTTTTGTGCCTCATTTCCCTCATCAATGAAATGGAAATGGAATCTCCCAGGCCTACCTTACAGGGTTGTTCTGAGGATGACAAATTAAGTACTTTATAAATTGGCACCTGTGCCAGAGACATTTACAGTATATGTTCTATGCACACCTTCAGCGTTTGTGATGGCCACTGAGAATTTTTGTATCAAATTATTTTTTTAAATGTTTAAGATTGCTTAAAAATGTTTTCTTTCTAGTTTCTTCCAAGATATCATAATGATTTATTAATAATAAAAGTTAAGGGCCCTGGCTGGTGTGGCTCAGTAGTTAAAGCGTCAGCCCACTACATCAAGGTTGGGGGTTCGATCCCTGGTCAGGGCACATACAGAATCAACCAGTGTATGCATAAATAAATGGAACAATAAATCTGTGTTTCTCTCACTCTAAAAGTCAGTAAATAAAAATAAAAGAAAATTTAAAAATAAAGTTAATACTGAGTATTAATTTTGTGTCAGGCACGTATTAACTGGTTTAAGCCTCACAACAATCCTATAAGGTAGGTTTCTATTATTAATGCCCACTTTACAGATGAGAAAACTGAGATAGAAAGATGTCAGTAAGACATCCTATACTAAAAGGAACTAATGTTTAGTATTTTCTGCTAGGCACTTTGTTAAGGTGTTTCCTGAGTCTTATTTTTTCTTCACTGCAACCCTGTGTAGGTAGGCTATCATTTCTCCAAGGCTTAGGTAAACTTATTTACCCAGTTTGCACAGAATTGAAGAGGACAAGATTTGAACTCAAGGCTACCTGACTACAAAGCCTGTACTTGTACTCCTACAAGGGGTGATTTCATTGTCTGCTAACTTTTTTATTTGGTTTTGACTCCTGGAATTAAGTATACAAAAAGAATTTTAAAGCTACATCTGGGTTCAATAGAATGGGAAGGGATCAGGTAGTAGAAAATTCCCAACCATATCTTTGCCATCCTTATATCCCCTAAAAACACAGAGTCAAAAAGGGAAAGTAGAACATGTTAAGGGCCATCAGAAGCCTCAATCAACAGGGCTGCCAAGATGAGCCTTTCTGAAGCTTCTATTGAGAAAGATGCTATTGAAATGAAAGGAAAAGCAAACTGGTCCTTGAGAATTTGACACTATGGAGACTGGAGTTATTTTTGGTGCTTTGGAAGTTTTGGACCCAGTTCTTGGATTAAACCAGTTCTTGCTCTAATCCAGTTAGCATTGATAACTTTGTAATTCTAGGGCAAATATTTTTCAGATTAAAATATAATTTTAGAGTAGTAATGAAAGACTTGTGGTCTGTTGACCAATTCTTTATATGTTTTGTTTTGTTTTTCCCATACCCTCACTTCCCAAGTTTGGGCAGATACTTGTTAATAAAATAATGAAGATTCGAAGATACAGTCATGATAATTCTGCTACTTTTAATTGCTTTTATTCTTTCAGGCATTTAACAGCATGCATGAGAGCAAGATATTCGTCAGTTTCTTTTCACTGTAGTATTCCCAGAGTGCAGAAGAGTTCCTCAGAGCTGGCACTCAGTAGATAACGTGTTGAACACGTGAATGCAGTTATGATCTGCTTGTGCTTGATCTTGTGTAGTAGGCAAAGCTGGCAATGCATTCTGAACACTTGCCTGCCTTGTACTATCACCTCTACATACTGATGCTGATACTCCAGCTCTGTCATAGGGTCCTCCAGGAGAGGAACTGTGTCTTGCACTTTTAAATCTCCCTTACAACACCTGAGAGAGTGCCTTGAACAAAGTGGGTAATGTAGGAATGAATGACTACTCGTGGGTTATCGGAGGAGCAAAAGTTGGAACCCAAGGATCTGATGGCAGGTTCAGTATTCGCTTCCTCAGATTCTCTTATACATCCCTGATTACTGTGAGGAGTTTGTAGTTTTGCGGTGGGATCTGGAAAGGAACATACATCGGTGTTCCTCTCACTTCAGATGAATCGGACAAAGGTTGATGAGGAGGAATACTGGAACAGCTCCAAGTTCAAGGCTTTCACCTTTGATGATGAAGATGATGAGCTCTCACAGGTAAGTTTCTGTGAACAGTTTCTGAATGTCACACCCTTCTCTACAGTGCCCCTAAAATTCCTCCCCCTTGTGTACTTGGTAACCTGACTTTTGACCAGGGCTTCATTAGGCTCAGAATTGTTTTGGGTTAGATCTTTAAAAAAATGTTCATGGAGAAGAGCCCTCAGAAAAGCAACAGGATTATTAAAACTAAATCTCTGCCCTTCTTTCTTTATATTCTTAAGATTATTTTTTTCTGTTGTTCTTTTTCTAAAACCTCAAATCAAGTCTTTTATCATGTGATATAATTTATTCTATTTGAAAGATGGACTGGGTTGGAGTGTTGTATTTCTTGTGTCTGTTTTACAAATGAGGGAATGTTCATTTTTGGAGAGGTGAATAAACTCACTCAGATTAACACAGGCATAGCCAGAAGTATGATTAGAACTCACGTGGCTCTGATTCCTCCCAACTCCTTTGCCACTGGACTGCAGTGTTGGCTAAAAAGCAGTTTGTTTTCTTGACATATCTAGCAAGCTAGACTTTCTGTTACAGAAGTGAAAGTGTTGGCCATCTTCAGGTTCCAANAACTCCTTTGCCAGTGGACTGCAGTGTTGGCTAAAAAGCAGTTTGTTTTCTTGACATATCTAGCAAGCTAGACTTTCTGTTACAGAAGTGAAAGTGTTGGCCATCTTCAGGTTCCAATTCCTCAGCCTTCTTGGTTTTCAAAGAGAAGGGTGGGAGTTGCCGATTGCCTAAGTTTCCTGCCTGATGTCCTTCCGCAGTTAAAGGAATCCAAGCGGGCAGTGAATAGCCTTCGAGATTTCGTGGATGATGATGATGATGACGACCTGGAGAGAGTCAGCTGGAGCGGGGAACCTGTGGGAAGTAAGTAGGAGAGGCCCCACAAGGGGATTGACATTCAGGGTTCTTGTCACTGATGAAAACTCCATTTGTTTGTCTCTTCAATTCTTGTCAGGAAAGAGAGCAAGGGGTAGGCCATTTTCAGATGTGCACGTCTGGAGATTTAACTCTAGGAGAAGATCCTTGGGGAAACACAGCAGTAGTTCCCATGTGGCTAGGTCTGCTGTCCTAGGGCTAATACTTGGCTGTCTATTTTAGATTCATTTGGGTGCTTGTTAAAATTGGATTCCTAGGCTTTACTCTAGAGATTCTGATTCAGTAGGTGGTGCGGGTAGGGTGGAGGGGGCCTCCGTGTATAAGAAGCACTGCAAGTACTTCTAATGTACAGTCCTATTTGAGAACTACTGACTTAAGTACTCATAACTGATTGGCAGAACTGACTTCTTTAGCCACCAAGCCTCGCTGCCTAGCGGTTATATAATGCCAGTTAATACCTCTGCAGAGTCTATCTGATTTTTAAGAATGTTGTTATAGTTTCGTGTGTTTTTTTCCAAATAGGGAATACTGTCATGTGATTTAAAAATAAAAAAGTATTTAAGGCAGCCCGGCCAGCATAGCTCAGTGGTTGAGTGTAATCGACCTATGAACCAGGAGGTCACAGTTCGATTCCCTGTTAGGGCACATGCCTGGGCTGTGGGCTCGATCCCCAGTAGGGAGCATGTAGGAGGCAGCTGGTCAGTGACTCTCTCATCATTGATGTTTCTCTCTCTCCCTTTCCCTTCCTCTCCCTGAAATCAATAAAAACATGTTAAAAACAAAAGTAAGGCATACAGTAAAAGGTTTCCCTCCCACACTGTCATGCACCTACTCAGTTCTTAGTCCCTGCCCTTCTGAAAAATAACTGCTATTGCTTGATTCCTGCGCATTCATCAGAAGATTCTTTTACACTTGGAAATACATATAGCAGTATGCATTCTTACCCTTTTTATACAAGTGATAGCACACTTTATACTCTGCACTTTTCACTTAATGCTTTGGCTTGGGCTTCTTCTCATATCAGTACATAAAGAGCTTTCTCATCCTCTCTCTTTTTAAGTAGCAGTATGGTGGTATTGTGTATAGATTTTCCATAATTTATTTAATCAGTTCACTGTTGATGACCTTTAGGTTGTTTCCAATCTTGTATTGTTTGTTTTTCTACTAATAACCTTGTATTCTGCTCATAGAAGACTTTATGAGAGATCGAGTCCTAGAGTGGAATTATTGGCAGAGAGCATTTGCGTCTGTTTTGGATAGATATTGTCAAGTTGCCTTCCATGCAGGTTGCACCAATTTGTACTCCCACCAGCAATGTCAGAGGGTTCCTGTTTCCCCACAGCCTTGCCCACACTGGGTCTTATTAAACCTTGGGATCTTTGCCAGTCTTAGAGGGGGCCAATTGTATCTCAGTGTACTTTTCATTTATGTAATTATCTTATTAAGAGTGAGGTTGAGCATCTTTTCATGTGTTTAATAGCCACTTAAATTTCCTTTCTTGTGATCCATTTATTCATTTCCTTTGCCCGGTTTTTCTGTTGATTAGTTTATTTGATTCTGTCCTTTCTCCCTGACCTGATTTGTGGAGTACAGGTCGGCCAAAGGACCAGAGCCTCTGGTGAAAAGCTTTTAGAGTTTGTTGAAATGCTTGTCATCTAGGATTTATTTGGATGAGAATGACGGATTTGGTTCTTACTATCTCACAGGTATCTCATGGTCCATCAAAGAGACTGCTGCTCATAGTGGGTCAAACCATGAGGGGCGTGAACAGCTGAAGAGCCGAAACAGCTTCTCCTCCTATACACAGCTACCCAAACCTACTTCTACTTACTCCCTGACCAGCTTTTTTAGAGGTAAAAAGTGATGGTTAAAGCCACAGGGAGCCTTCTTTTCCTTTTTCAAAAGAGTGCTTGGGTTATAATTTTTATTTACACTTGGGAGAAGATTATTGAGGGAAAAAGAATCATCTTTGGAGCTGGCAGTNAAAGTGATGGTTAAAGCCACAGGGAGTCTTCCTTTTTCAAAAGAGTGCTTGGGTTATAATTTTTATTTACGCTTGGGAGAAGATTATTGAGGGAAAAAGAATCATCTTTGGAGCTGGCAGTTGAAGATCAAGAGTGGGAGAAATGTGAGAAATTCAGAGGGCTTGGTCTGGGGTTCCAGAAGTGAATAAAATTGGNTTGAAGATCAGGAGTGGGAGAAATGTGAGAAATTCAGAGGGCTTGGTCTGGGGTTCTAGAAGTGAATAAAATTGGCATTAACCCTGTGATAGGTACTGAAGAAATCTGCCTAGGTCAAAATTTCTCCCTATCCTTGGGCATTGCTGTTGGGAACCCTTGTGCACTGCTAGTGGGAATGTAGAGTGGTATAGCCACTGTGGGAGACAGTATGGCAGTTCTTCAGAAAATTAAAAAATTGAACAATAACTGTATGATCCAGCATTCCACCTCTAGGTATATACCAATTAAAAGTGGGAACTTGAACAGATATTTATATACCACTGTTCATAGCAGCAGCATTCAGAATAGCCAAAGGGAGAAATAACTCAGATGTCCATTGATTAATGAATGGAAAAGCAAAATGTACATGCGATGGAATATCATTCAGCCAAAAAGGAACAAAATTCCAGTACATACTACAACATGGATGAACCTTGAGGACTTTATGCTAAGTGAAATAAACCAGAAACAAAAAGATAAATGGTGTATGATTCCACCTGTATGCGGTATCTAGAATAGTCAGATTCATAGAAACAGAAAGTAGAATAGTGATTACCAGGGGCTGCGGGGGAGGGAAATGGAGAGTTACTGTTTAATGGGTGCGGAGTCTCAGTTTGGGATGATGAAAAAGGTCTGAAGTGGACAATGGTGATGATTGTACATGTGAATGGGTTCAGTGCTACTGACCTATAGGCTTAAAAATGGTTACAATTAAAAAATTTTCCTCCCTGACTTCTTTTTCATGGTATCTCAAATTTCTGAAATTGAATAAAAGCTTTTTTAAGCCTTAATTTCCCATATTGCATAATAAGGTTTTATACACACTACATCTTTAACCAAATCTGAATGGGTCTGTGTTCACCTCTGCCCTCATGTGTTCTTTATCTTTAGGGAGAACTAGACTTGGAAGTTTCCAGTCCCTTTCTGATGGTAGGCATGGACCCTCTTTTCTTGATTACTTTGGGAGATGGTACTGATCTGGGTTATAGTCTGGAGAGTCATGGAGAAAAGTGGTAATTGGATGATTTGATGAAATTTCTCTTAAATCTATCATCATTATTAGAGAAATTTTTTGATATTGAGAAGGAGGTAGATTCCATTTACAGGGGAAAGGAGTAACTTCTAGGGATACTGGCTTTGGGGAGGAACTGAGATCTATTTGGGGCCCTAAAAAATACCTTGGGAGCCTATAAGTCAAGAAGGAAGCTGTCAAGGAAAGGAATGACAAGAAGATGGTGTCCTTCTGAACCAGCTGCCTGTTCTCTTTCAGCTCTTTCAGACACACCTGCCAAAAGCTATGCTCCAGAGCTGGGGAGACCCAAGGGGGAATATAAGGTGAGTTATATTTTACGCTGGTTTGACACTGTACACAGTTTAAAGTGCTCCGACGTACATTATCTTGCTTGATCTTCCCAACTTTTTGAGCACCTGTTACTTTACCCCCTTTTATAGATAAGAAAACTGGATTTCTAAACATTCAGGCTTGCCTGGGGTCTCACAGCTAGTAAATGGTGGAACTTGGACTCACAGTATCTATTTTCTGATTTAGCCCAAGCACACTTTCCTTCCCCATTATGCTGTGTTTTGAAGGTTGTACTTTCACACTTTTGATCATCAGTGTCGTCTGGAAACTTTGGTGAAGCTCATACTCCCATGAAGCACATAGAAAAGCAAATTGATTCATAAGGAAGAAACTATATTGTAAATTCCAGAAAAGGAACATGCCTTTCTCCTTCCTTATGCTGGCATAGCTATTAATTAAAATCTCAAAAATGGGATTGATTACATCTAAGAGTTGGAGTCCTGAATCAGTAGGCATAGGGTTACTGATTTTGTCAATTGGTTTATTTCTATCTTTGATTCATCTCTTCCTGCCTGTATTTACTCTGTTCTAGTTCCTTCAGAAACTCCGAACAAGGCTATCCCAGTTCTTTTTTTTCCATCTATTCCCTCCCACAAAATATTTCCTCTTTAGGGACTAAGACAGTGAGTTTGAGGTGAGGGGCTAGCACATTGATAATTCTGATACCTTAACTTCTTGGGATTCATGTGTTGCTAATATTCCAGGACTACAGCAATGACTGGAGCCCCAACGACACGGTGCGGCGCCTTCGGAAGGGCAAGGTAAGGACACAGGAGAGAGAAGTCTTGTGGGATATTTTGGAGGAAGCTGGACTCTGTTCACGCAGGGAGGATTTCTCGACCTCTCTTCAACTTGATTGGTCAAATGAAATGATTTTCAGGAGGAAAATAAATTCACTAAGATGGAAAATCAGCTGCAAAATTTGAGATTCTCCAGAGTTTAGTGTTACTTTGATAGGGTAATAGGAAAAGAGTGATGGATGAGAGGCAAAAGTACTTTTAAGAATGAGAGTGATCTTTTATGTTTAGGTCAGAGATCTGTTATGAGTTTACTTTTATACAGGGTGGGGCAAAAGTAGGTTTATAGCTATGAATATGCGAAACAGTTTATTCTTGTATTATTATTTATTAATTATTATTTTCCATATGAACAACTGTAAACCTAATTTTGCCCCACCCTGTATATGGTGTGAGGTTAGGATTGGGGTTCTTTTTTTTCTCATGTAGTTCTCCGTTCCTTGCAGGTCTATTTTTATTTATTATTATTATATTTTTAATTTTTACTTTTATTATTATTTTTTTAATCCTCACCCCAGGGTATTTTTTCCATTGCTTTACAGAGAGTGTGGGGTGGGGAGAGAGTAAACATTGATGATTGGTTGCCTCCCACACGCTTCCTGATTGGGACCAGGGATCAAGCCTGCATTTGAGGTACGTGCCCTTGGCCAGAATTAAACCCAGGGCCCTTTACTCCCCAGGCCGACGCTCTAACCACTGAGCCAAACTGGCTAAGGCTATTTTTAATTTTTTAAATATATTTTTATTCATTTTAGAGAGAGAGGAAGGGAGAGGGAGAAATAGACAGAAGCATCGATGATGAGAGAGAGTCATTGATTGGCTGCCCCCTATTGGGGATTGAGCCTGCAACCTGGGCATGTGCCCTGACCGGGAATCGAACCTGGATCATAGGTCGATGCTTAAGTGCTGAGCCAAGCCAGCCAGGTGCAGCTGTATTTTTAGAAAAGACTATCCTTTTCATTGAATTACCTTGGTGCCTTTTTCAAAAGTCAATTGACTATTATATGTGTAGGTCTATTTCTGGACTCTTTATTCTAGTTCATTGATTTATTTGTTTAATCTTATGCCATTACCACAGTTTTGATTATGTAGCCTTGTAGTAAATCTTGAGATTAGGTAATTTAAGTCATTCAACTTTGTTTTTCTCTTTCAAATTGTTTTGGCTATTGTAGATCCTCTTTATTTCCATATAGATTTTAGTATTAGCTTGCCAGTGTCTACAAAAGAGGTTCCGGAATTTTGAGATTGCATTGAATTTATAGATCAGTTTGGGAGAATTGACATCATAACAACTAATGGGTCAAAATGGATCATAGACCTAAATATGAGTAAATGCTAAAATTAAAATCATTCTGACCTAGGGTTAGGCAAAGATTTATTACTTAGGATACACACACACACGAAACAAAAACAAAAAAAAGGAAAAAGATGATTAAATGGATTTCATCAAAATTAACGTTTGTTCTTTGAATGCACTTAAAAACATGAAAAGACAACCATAGAAGAAAGAAAATATTTGCAAAATATAATTATTATAAAGGATTTTCATCCAGAATATATAAAGGATAATTATTTTTAATAACCCAGTAAAAAATTGGCACAAGATTTGACCAGATGTATCACAAAAAAATAACATGCATGGCCAGTGAGCACTTGAAAAGATGCTCAACATTATTAGTTATCAAGAAAATGTGAATTAAAACTGTGAGATACCACTATGCAGCCACTAGAATGGCTACACTTAAAAATACTGATCATACCAGATATTGGGAGGATGTGAAGGAACTGGAACACTGCCAGCGGGAAGGTAAAATGGTAAATCTACTTTGGAAAATAGTCTGGCAGTTTCTTACAAAGTTAATCATTCACTTAATTTCATGCCTGGACATTTACAATTCAAGATAAAAGGAAACATGTCCATACAAAGACTTGTACATAAATGTTCATAGCAGCTTTATTCAAAGTAGCCCCCAAAGTGAAAATCCAAATATCCATCAGCAGCTAAGTGGATAAATAGTGGTATGTCTGTACACTGGAAAACTACTTACCAGTAAATAGGAACAAACTACTAACACTCATCACAGCACATAGATTCATCTCAGAAACATGATATTCAGTGAAAGAAGCCAGATATTAAAGAGTACATATTGTACAATTTGATTTTTCTGAAATTCTAGAAAAGGCAAAACTTTAGCAACTGAAAACAGATAAGTGGTTACCAGGGCTAGGATGGGAGGGGAGGAGGGTATGGACATCAAAGCAGACAAGGAAACTTACTGGGGTGATGGAAATACTCTGTATCTTGATTGTGGTAGTAGTTACATGGAATTCTATTCTCGTCAAAACTAACCGAACTATACACTTAAATAGGGTAGATTTTATTGTATGTAATTTATACCTCACTAAAAAAGAGGAAGTCATCTCTACCTGTTGACTTTGGCAAGACTTCCTCAGGAAATGACATGTAGGGCATAAGGCTGACTAGAGAGGGTGTGGTGGGGACCACAGTGTAAAAATAAACTAGCTTTCTTTGGGGACATTTCCTCTCCTTGCTCATTCTTCAGTATCCAGTGACAAAGGGAATGTAGCAAACGGTCTTCTTCCCAGCACAGTAATTCTGTTCTTCTGCCAGGTCTGCTCACTAGAAAGATTCCGCTCCTTACAGGACAAGCTACAACTCCTAGAAGAAGCAGTAAGCATGCACGATGGAAATGTCATTACCGCAGTGAGTTGTGGGTTTTGTTTGTTGTTTAATTGTTTTCATTAGTTTCTGAAAATCCAATCAGAATAGACTTTAACATTTTAGGTTAAATGTCAAGTAAAGATCCTGAATTTCCTTTTGATTTGTAGGATTCTCAGTAATATGTGCTTTAAGGCTCAGCTGGTAGGACATGCATTGTGTGTGGAATGCTTCATTATAACCAAGAAAGCAGTAGGTTGGCTACTATAGTCTGAGGGAGGAGAGCCATGAGAGCAGGGAGGTATCTCTTGCCAGTATGAGCATGGGCATGTGGACTCCTAAGACACAGCTCAGTTCCAGATGTCCACCACCTGTCTTTTCATTACGTAGAGAAATCTGTTGTTGGGATCTGCAAAGATGCCTAATGAGTTGCTGACCTCATTCCTAGACATCAGGTGCTCAGGGCTGGGCTTTGTGTTTGAAAGATTGCATAGGGTAATACATTCTTTGTTCCTTTTCCCTCCAGGTTCTGATATTCCTGAAGAGGACACTGAGCAAAGGTGAGCATGATTTGAGGGAAGGCTTCAGTCAGCACTATGTCTATTATATTTGAGGGGAGGAAGGCATTGTGGCTTTTATACCAGAATTCACCAGCATCAAGTGTACTTCAGAGACGTGGGGCTGGCCTGAGACCTCAGAGTACACCTCACATCTCTGACGGCAGTCGTATTCTGTTAGTGTGATAACTACATTAACTATAAAGTCCCCTCTATTTACTGGGCACACACATGGCTGCATTGGTTTGAGGAAGTCAGAATTGATGCTTAAGTGCCTTATGTTTGGATTGGTGAGAACTGAAAGCTCATGCAGTGGCTAAGAGTTGCCCTGAACCATGGAATGTGTCGATGGTGGATTCTTTTTTTAAAGCTATTATTTTTTTATTGATTTCAGAGGAAGGGAGAGGAAGAGAGAGAGAAACATCAATGATGAGAGAGAGTCNTTGATTTCAGAGGAAGGGAGAGGAAGAGAGAGAGAAACGTCAATGATGAGAGAGAGTCATTGATTGGCTACCTCCTGCACACCCCCTACTGGGAATCAAACCCGAAACCCGGTCATGTGCCCTGACCAGAAATTGAACCATAACCTCCAGGTTCATAGGTTGATGCTCCAACACTGAGCGACCGGCCAGGCCTGATGGTGGATTGAGTCACAGGGATGGGTACCATAAAAAAACATTCCTAGCTTCTGATTGACTTTGAGGAATTAACGTTTGGAATGTGCGAGTAGGGAGGCCGTTTCACACTTAAGTAATAGGCTTTACTCTTTCTCCACCTGACTTCTTCCTGCCTGTCAGAGGTCCTCTTCCGAGAGCTAGAGGTGCGACAGGTCGCCCTGAGACATCTCATTCACTTCCTTAAGGAAATAGGGGATCAAAAGCTGCTTTTAGATCTCTTCAGGTAAGAACTGATCCTCTGGTCAATAAAGTATATTAAGTACTTTGTTCAAAGCACTCTGGGGAATACAAAGAAAGGAGACACTGTTCTGGAAATGCTTATTAGACAAGATATGGAAATGTGATGGGGTAACTAATAACTCACCTCAGGCCGTGATAAGGTGACAGTGTAGCAGGTGGTTCAGAACCAGGCTCTGGAGTCAGACACACCTGCGTCGAATACTGGCTCCACCCTTAATTCATAGAGTGACCTTGAGCAAGTTACCCAGCCTAAGTATCAGTTTTCACATCTGTAAAATGGAGATGATGATACCTACCCCACAGGATCATTATGAAGATGAAAAGAGTTAGTGTTGTGTAAAGCACTTCCATAATGCCTAGCCTGTAGTATTACTATTTGGTAAGCGTTTTTACAGTGAAGATCTAGAACGAAGGTATCTTTCATTACTTGGGCCCCAGTGATGGTAGTGAGAAGTGCAGTGGGAGAGCAGAAGAAGTAAATGTAATTTTCAGTCAGGATACCTGAGGACAGGCCTATGGAAGACGTTAGGACTGGAGTAGGGCCTAGAGACTGGGTAGGATTTGGATTGGTGGAGAGGTAAGCGGTAGGAATATCTGCTGGGGGCTGGGGAAGGGGTGTCTTCTGTCATGTTTTCCTTTCCTATCCTTCCAATCAGTAGGGACTATTTTCTACCTTTAGGTTAAAATGTGTGTATATTATGTTTTTTCTTCAGTGTCAGAGAAGGGGTTGGAACCTCTGTTGAGGCTGACATGTGGCCTAGGGTAACTCCAGTTACCTGTGACTCCAGCACAGTGATGAGCTGCCCCAAAGACTAAGGTGGGGAAAGGTCACCTGGTTAGGGTCAAGATTACAGATGGTTTAGCCATGAGTTTTCAGAAGACACATTGACCGAGGCAGGCTGTTCTTTCCCTCCTTCCCTCCTTCCCAGTCAAGCAGGCTTTATTAAGCATCACTTCTATGCCAAAGCATGATGTTAATTACAGCGGACCATTCAGAGTAAGAAGGGATCAGAACATCGAAGTCCTTGTTCTCCAAGGCCTTACTGCCTTTTGGGAGAGACGATACATCGCACACTGTACATGAAAATGAGAGGATAGTGTAGAAAATCTGTTCAAGAGTGTTGGCAGAGAAGAAGAGTGCTTTACTCTTTCTCAAAGAATCTATGACATTACCATGGGCTAATAATGTTTTGTGGAAGCTCTGAGCCTTCCCATCAGCCCTATTTACCTTATAGAGTTATTAGTGCCCTATAGTGCCTTCTTATCTCTTTTGCTCAGCTAGAAAGATCAAGGGAACAATGATAGCTGATCCACCATGTGTTTTCAAAGGGTTGCTGGTGGGAGGAAGTTTAAGAAGACAAGGACTTATTTTGCATATGGAGGCAAATGAGTTTGAATTGTGTTCTCCCAGAGCGGTCGTCTTATTTTGTGAGGTTATGCTGCCACATGTCAATAGATAAAAATGGCCTGCTCCCTTCTGCTTCTTCCCAGGTTCCTAGACAGAACAGAAGAGCTTGCGGTAAGTGTGGCCTTTGTTTCAGTTGGGGACTTATTTAACAGAAATCTAAGCCAAACCCAGTCTCCAGGATCCCAGAATGACTGAACCTATTTCTTTTCCACTGGTATTGATTATATTCAGAAGAGAGAGACATCTGGGAATCCTGAAAACTTAGTCCAAATGATGTACTGTTTTATTGTTTTTATATATATTCTTTCGATTGGGCTGTAAATGAGTATTTTTTTGAATATGAATGAAAACTGGCCTCATCAATTTGTAATTTTGTTGTTGTTGTTTGTAGTTGTTTTCAACTCCTGGTTTGTAGGAGCTTTTGGATTTTGGCTTCTGATACCAAACAAAATGTTGGCCCTGGCCAGGTAGCTCAGTTGGTTAGAGTGCTGTCCCGATATGCCAAGGTTGTAGGTTCGATCCCTGGTCAGGGCACATATAAGGACCAACCAGTGAATGCATAAATAAATACAAAACCAAAATGGATGTTTCTCTCTCTCTGTCTCTCCCTCTCTCCCTCCCTTCCTCTCTCTCTCTCTCTCTCACATCAGTAAATTAAAAAAAAAATGTTAAAAGCTAAGAGGGATAAGAAACCAGATACATGTCAAGAGGGAAGAGAGGTCAAGCTGGTGGTACGCTCAGTACACATTTTGGCTGAGAGTTCAATGACTGAGTGTTAAAATAGTGTTTGACAAATTTTCACCATCATTGAATGAACTCTTGGAATATGAGGATAAATCTGAAAATTTACCAAAAATTTAATTGTATTGTTAAAACTTCAGTGATCCATTTTTAAAAGTTTGCCGTAGTGTGGGTGCCAGAATTTCTCAGCACCGTTAGTGTCAGGATTGTTCCTTGAGTGTATTGCACTTGTGTGGTGGTAGCAGAGCTCACATCCAGCTAGCACATTTAATTAATGTTAAACTTGATTGCACAACAGAATATAATTCAGGAAAATGTTTTTTAGTAATATTTTGTAAAAGGAACATGTACTTAGCATTTAAGGTAGGGTAAAATCTCAAAAATGCTTTATCTTAATCTACTGAAAATGATTGGCAGTCTGTATATAAATTTCAAAATAATCAGTAATCATTTTGAAAACCTTTTTATTTTTCTTAATCCATTGCTTTTCAGAAAGAGTGGAAGTAGGAGAGAGAAAGAGAAACATCAGTGTGAGAGAGACACATCGATTGGTTGCCTCCCGCAAGCCCCTGACCAGGGATCCAGCCTGCAACCCGGGCATGTGCCCTGACTGGGAATCGAACTGTGATCTCCTGGATCCTAGGTCGATGCTCAACCGCTGAGCCATGCCCGGCTGGGCTCATTTTTATTTAAAACTATTATTTTTTGCATGTACTCTATTATGTTTGAAGATGATTTATCACACATGTTGCTGTATATAAATTTGGAATTTTCCAACCTTGTAAACTTTGAAAGTGACAAAGCTTGTAGTCTGCTTTTAATTTATCCTCATAAAATATGAAGATTTCCCAAGTAGGATTTTTTGAAAGACTTAAGGCCAAAAAAATTATAGCTCTTAAAAGCCACTTTCTTTAATATTAGAAATGATTATATAACAAATATTTTACTCCATATATTTTATAAAGATTAGTTTAAAATATAATCTCTGTTACTCAGTTTTTAAAAAAACTACGGGTTTTTTTTTGTTTTCAGTGAGAGAAAAAGGGAAAAGGAGAGAGTGAGAGAGAAACATTGATATGAGAAACATTGATTGGTTGTCTCCTGTATGCACCCTGACCAGGGATCGAACCTGCAATTTGGGTATGTGCCCTGACCAGGAATCGAACCAGTGACCTTTTAGTGCATGGGACAACACTCAACCAGCTGAGCCACGCCAGCCAGGGCTTTGTTATTCTGTTTTATATTATCATTTACATTCTTATACACATTTGTGGGCTCTAAAAGGATATACTGTCATTCCTAAAGCCAATTCATTTTCTTAATATTCATATTAACTGTTAATCTGTTTATTTTTAACTCTTGGAAGTTTTTAATAACTATATATAAAATTACAGCTTTCATAATCATCATTATTGCATTATTTAAACTTCAGTTTATTTTTTAGAATTTAAAATACAAAGCACATAAGATTTTCTGTCAGAGTTACATTTAAAACCTATAGTATTTGAATTGACTATTTCACTATCAACAGTGAGTCAGAATGACAGGCCCTATTTATGTTACTGACATTGATAGTTACTTGTAGGATTGTGCTACCATTGATCATATACAAGGTCAAGGATGCCAAAAATAACATTGAAGTAGGCGTTTAGCTAAACTTCATCCTTTTGAAGGCTAAGGCGGAAGCAAAAGCTGGTTTTGGTTAAATACTGACACTAAAGCCAATTTTCAGAGTAAAGCTAACTGTTCCATCTACTTAGTGCTTCGTTGTAGGTCAGCACTACCCAATAGAACTTCCTATAATAATGGGAATATTCTATATCTGTGCTGTTCGATGTGGGAGCCACTAATCACATGTAGCTCTTCAGCACTTAAAAAGTGTCTAGTGCAACTAAGGACCTGAATTTCTTTTTATTTAAATAATTTGAATTTACATGTAAACAACCAGATGTGGTTAGTGGCTACCATATTACATATTGCAATTGTAGATAAACCAAAGAGTGATTTTTTTTTTTTAAATAAGTTGTTTTATTCATGTGCCCTGACCACATGTGCTCTGACCGGGAATCAAACCTGTAACTTTTGGTGCACAGGAAGACACCCAAAGAGTGATTTTAAGTCACTCTATTTAGGGAGCTACCTCCCCTTTCTGAGGAGACAAACTAGCTCAAAGCTTTTCTTTGTGTTTTTTAGCTGTCCCAGTATCGAGAGCACTTGAGCATTCAGGACCCTGAGAAACGAAAAGAATTTCTTAAGACCTGCATTGGGTAAGTATGGGGGAGAAATGTTTTAAGTATAAATACTCTCATGTGTTGGAATGAGGAGACTAAAAGAGGGTGGAATGGATAAATAGTTGAAGGGAAAGGCTAACACAATGGATCATACAAGCATCATCAAAAATTGTCTTACTCAGTGGTTCGAAATACTAGTTCCCAGTAGAATTTTCATTGATTGGTGATAAATTAAGAAAAATAAAGACAATGTAGAGAGTTTTTTTCCTAAAGCTGCATTTATTTAATTGAAAGACTGCCTTTTATTCTGGGATTTTTTTCCCCTCTACCCTTCCCCAGCTTATAGTAGTAAAATTGGTTATAATTCTTTTTTTTCTTCTTTTTTTCTTTTTTAATTTTATTATTGTTTAAAATATTACAGATGTCCCTTTTCTCCCCAATGTATAATTCTTTTTTATGACCATATGTGTTAAAATAAAAAATGGACAACATTTTACTTCATATATTATTTTCAATGTTACTGATTCTTGAAAACTCAAAGTCCAAGAACCACTGATTCTGTACAGGCCTTGACCCAGAATATAAGTCACTGTAAAAACTATTCCCACACATTACTCTTCCAATGATTGGGCACTTGCTGCTCTTGGAAGTAGCTTATTTTATTGTTGGACAACCTTCGTGATTGGAAAGTGCTTCCTTATATTGAGCTGAATCTTGCTTCCCTGTATCTTTCAAGGCAGGTATAGAGTTTCCCCAGTGGACCTTGCTTCTCCAGGCTCAGCGTTCACAGTTGTTTCAATCATTCCTCATGTGACATGATTTCCAGGTTTCACATTTAGAAATTTGTTTATGTTAATGCCATCTTTACTTTTAACATTATCAAATCAAATACTGAGTATATCTTATGGCCTCTGGTAAGCAAAGAGAAAAGTTAGAGTAGTGAAGTAACTGGGACCTATTGCCTGCTGTCTCCCTTTATCTCTTCTAAAAACTGGCTGTGGCTCACACTTAATCTGGGATAGTGTAATTGAATTTCAGAATTTTTCCTGGAATGAGTGGAGTAGGAGAATAAGGCCACAGTTTCTGAAGGATAGATCTGTGAACTGGGAGTTTAAAATCTGGTTTCTGGCTTGGCCGGGTGTAGCTCAGTGGTTGAGCATTGACCTAGGATCCAGGAGATTGTGGTTCAGTTTCCGGTCAGGGCACATGCCCGAGTTGTGGGCTCGATCCCCAGTTGGGGGCATGCAGGAGGCAGCTGATCAATGACTCTCTCATCAACCAGTTTCTCTCTCTCCCCCTCTCTCTGAAATCAGTAAAGATATATTTAAAAAAAAAAAAAAAATCTGGCTTCTGTTTCTGGCCTTACCCAATGACTTGCCATGTGACTTTTAGGTAAGACACTGTTTGTTCCCTCAACTTCTTCGTGTGTAAAAATATAATGTCTTGAAGATGCGACCTTTGACATTTGTGGAGATCTTTGAGACCTTTACCAATCTACAAACATACTACCCTGCCATGTAATTAATTTTACCTTAAAACTCTGCAATAAAAAAATGGCTCACAAATATAAGTGCCTCTTAAGGAGAGTTAAGTATTGACATTAAGAAGTGACACAAACCACAGTGCTTCACTGGGATGTAAATGATGGGCAGGTGGCGGGGCTCACTCATTAACTAAGGGAGTCATTCACCAATTGTTACAACACCCACAATGAGAGGATTCTAATTCATTCCTCAATAAAGTCACTAATGGCTGTATATATTTTGTCAACTTTCAGGATCCCTCTTCAGTTGGCAAAAACCTTAAATGCAAAATCCCAGCCAAAAGTCTACTCTGTTTTCTGCTTTCTCTCTCTGCCTTTTATGGATACTCCAAAGGTGAACTGAGATCAGATTTATGAAGCACCATGAGCCTCTTATGCTTATAGTGGTGGTTTGGTTTAGTTTGGTTTGTTTCCTGTTTGAGTAGAGAAAGAGGCACTAACCTTCTGGCCCTCTACCAGTTTGCCTTTTTCAGCAGAAGATTCTGCACACATACAAGACCATTACACGCTCCTGGAACGTCAGATCATTATTGAGGTTAGACTCCTCATATCTGTGTTTTCTGCTTCAGTGCCAAAGCTCAGTGCCATTCAGCATCTGGGAGACATCTGTGCTCTGCCCACATGTGTCATTTCCTGTTACAGTCTCTAAAAGCCTTTCATTTCTCCCTCTTTGCGATAGCCCCTTCCTGCCATTGTTTTCAGCCTCCTTTCTTCTCACCTGCCTTTAACCTGGAAGTATTCCCTCTTCATCCCAGAATTCCCACTTCAGTGCCACTTCACTGGTGGTCTGCACCATCCAGCTTGGATCTGTCATCATTTCATGGCTTTTAAACTCCCCTGGGTTATCCTAGGCAGTTTCTTTTTTTCTTCCTTTGCCTCTTTCCTTGGGTAGGAAACCCAGCTACTGTAGTAGAAGTTTCTCTCTGCGTCTACTGTATGGACATTGTTCTTTTTCTCACTTGGCTCCCTCTGCCGCAGGCAAATGATCGCCATCTAGAAGCAGCGGGACAGACTGAGATCTTCCGGAAGCACCCCCGCAAAGCCTCCATCCTCAACATGCCACTAGTGACGACACTTTTCTACTCCTGCTTCTACCACTACACGGAGCCCGAGGTACAGGCGACATGGGGAAGACCCCACACACTCTCGCTGCACACAGGAACATAGTTCGAAGTCAGTATTTTGATGTACCCTGTTAACAATGGGCGCGTATAGTTCTTGGAAATCCACCTGGAGGCTTTCCTGGCCCTCAGCAGGGGTGAACCAGGAGGTAAGAGAGGGCTTGTATGGCTTCCAGTGAGCTGGCCTGTAGCATAGCACTTTCTTTCTCACCAGTACTGGCCCCACAGCAGTCTCTGCTCAAAGGCCCTTCAATATAAATGATTGACCCAGAAGAACAGCAGGGTATCAGGTAACTGGATATTTGAACACTTTTTAAAGTATATATATATATATATATGTTTTTATTGATTTTAGAGCAAGAGGAAGGGGGGAGAGAGAGAGAAACATTGATGTGAGAGAAACAAACAGTTGCCTCTCTCACACACCCCTACCGGAGATTGAACCTGTAACCTGGGCATGTGCCCTGACCAGGAATTGAACTGGCGATCTTTCGGTGCATGCAACGATGCTCAGCCAACTGAGCCACACTTGCCAGGGTGAACACTTTTTTTTAAATTTAATTATCAAAACTGGACATTTGGATTAGCATAAAATTGGGAAAAATACCATACTTATTATCCCAGTCTTGTTAAGATGGGTTGCAGTAATGTCTGATTAGACCCAATGGGGCTTTTCTCTTAAAATAATTTCTGGGTTTAAATGGTTAGAGTAAAATGTAGAAAGTCTAGTTAGTACAATAGAAGATGGGAGATGGGGTGCTATTTGGGAAAGTCGGTAACACTAAAATTCCTTCTCCACTTTTATCCTAGGGGACATTCAGCAGTCCGGTCAACCTGAAGAAGACATTTAAGGTAGCTATAAACTGGTCTGTGCTTTGGTAAAAGTAGTATCAGGGTAACTGCATGGTGTGGATGTTGCTTTGTAACCCTGCATAGTAAGTCTCTTGATCCTGAGGTTAAAGGTAGAAAGGAAAGTGTTTGTGGGAAATGAGATAAGGCTTTAACTGAATGCCTGCCGCAGTGTTGGGGCTTGGAAATTAAGGGGTTCTTGGTGACTTGAGAGACTTACGGATTTTTAAGGAGCATAATCAACACTATGGTATATTTTGCCTCTCTTTTCCAGAACTCTCAAGTACCTCCCCTGGTGCATTTCTACTTCCCCTTAAATTCCCCTGGTCTCTGCTTTCTAGATCCCAGATAAACAGTATGTGCTGACTGCCTTGGCTGCTCGCGCCAAGCTCCGGGCCTGGCATGACGTAGATGCCCTCTTTACCACAAAGGTGGGTCCCTGGAACTGTCCATGCTGCTCATGCCTTAGACATGTCATTTTGTTATCCCAGGCTCGTGGGAATCTCAAGTTCTAGTAACTGGCTTACATTTTTCCTCCAACTTTTTATGTTCCAAAATTTCACACCTAAAGAAAAGTTGAAAGAATAATACAGTGAATGCTAGTAGCCTTTACCTACTTCACTAATTTATTAACATTTTTGCTATATTTGCTTTCTCTTTTTCTAGATATGTAGGAAAAGAGAAAGCAAGTACGCTTTTTTCTTTTGCAGAACGATTTAAGAGTAAGTTTTAGATATCATGACACTTTCCCCTTAAATACTTAAGCATTTTTCTCCTTTGTAACCACTCAAGAAGTTTAACATTAATGGAATGCTATTATCATATATAGCCTGTATTTAAATTAGTTTCCTAGAGCTGTTTTTGTTTGATTTTGTTGGTTCGCTCTCAGGATCAGATCAAGGATCTTGCATTACATTTGGTTGTCACGTCTCTACTGGTTGACATTTTTTTATTATTTTAAAAAATTATTATTTATTTTTAATCCTCATCTGAGGATATTTTTTTATGTTTTTTCCATTGCTTTTTCAGAGAGGGTGGAAGGGGGAGAGACAGAGAGAGAGAGAGAAACATCGATGTGAAAGAGACACATTGATTGGCTGCCTTCTGCTTGGCGCCGGCCAGGGCCGGGGACTGAATCTGCAACTGAGGTACATGCCCTTGGCTGGAGTTGAACCTGGGACCCTTCAGGCCACGGGTGGATGCTCTAACCACTGAGCCAAACCGGCTAGGGCTACTGGATGATATTTTAAATATTGATTTTTTTATTATAGGTTTGAGAATTTTCCGTTATTTAATTAGCTACATTAACTACCAAAGCAATACGTGCCTGTGTCCAAATCAAACACTGCATGAAAGTATAAAGAATGAAGAGTGATGTTTCTCTTCCATTATCTTTCTAATCCTATCTCTCACTCCCTCAAAGCAAATGCCATTAAAAGTTTTTTGGTTTTATTTTGCCATTAAAAGTTTGATGGGTACTTTCCAGATCTTTCCTCATGAATTTACAAAAAAGTCTTAATATGAATGTAAAGATGTAGAAGATAGGATTTTTCTCTCCAGATAAATTCATACCACAAGTGTGGTTAAGTAAATTACTTATTTCATTTACACCCTCTCAAGTTTCTTGATGTTTCTAAAAAACTCATTTCCCTTCATTTCCTTGTCCCCCATCCTAGTCCACCCACTGTCACCACCACATTATTCTAGCTTGACCATAAGATGCAGGGAGACGAGCGCAAAGTGTGTTGAGTTCGTTCCAGCCCAGCTATAACTGCCATCTTCCTTTTTCAGAACTGGCTGGGCTACACCAAGAAGAGAGCACCCATTGGCTTCCATCGGGTTGTGGAAATTCTACACAAGAACAGTGCCCCTGTCCAGGTAACAGCTCCTAAAGAGAGTTGGGAACAGGATCTTTAGGAGACCTAACTTGTAGCCTCTTACTGGCCAGTGATAGGAGACATGACCTGTTCTGTTCCTCCCTTAAAGGCAACATAATGGCTGTATTGGGTCTTGAGATAGGACAGCCAGGGAGAGAAGTTCTCTGCCCTTTGGAAATAATCTGCCCTCTCTGAGGAGCATCCACTGTGTTTAGCCATACTGTTGAAATGATACCAAAGGAGAACTCCCTGAGAAGGGACATCAGGGAGCAATGGATCAGGTCCGGAGCATGCCCATCAGTGCTGGATCAGGACTGGAGCATTCCCATCAGCACTGGATCAGGCCTGGAGCATGCCCATCAGTGCTGGATCAGGTCTGGAGCATGCCCATTGCTGGCATGGCTGTGCAGCTCTAGGATATGGAGGAGCGTGCTCTTCCCTTCTTTCCTGGGAGAGTGCAGAATGCTTCCTGGGGTCCATCTCATTTCCCATTGCAGAACTGGTCCTGTGGTTGGTGATGGGAATTGTAGATATCAGATGTTGTAGACGAATTCTTTTGCCTTTAGGATTTTTTTCCTACTTTTCAGAGGTTTTGGAATCATTAATAAGTACCTCTTCCCACAGATACTACAGGAGTATGTCAACCTAGTGGAAGATGTCGACACAAAATTGAACTTAGCTACCAAGTTCAAGTGCCACGATGTCGTCATTGATGTGAGTCCCCAGGAAATAAGAACCCTGAGTTAGACCCTCATTGGAGAGTGGGGGATTATGATATTCTCTGTCCTGGGTCCTGTGATACTGCAATCAATTTTGACTTAATGGACAAAATGGTCTGGCAAGGGTTAGTTTGGAGGCCAGCACTCCTCTTATTTTCCTGGCCCTCTGACTGGTTTCTGTGCTCTTATAAATTTGTTGCACTTGGAGAACTCATAGAATTGAATCAAGCCACATGAGCTCTGTAGACTTTACTCCAACATGAAGTTTTGTGGGGGCTTGGCCCCACTGTCATCCAGCTTCTCTCTTTTTAAAAAAATGTTTTTATTGATTTAGAGAAGAAGGGAGAAGGAGAGGGAGAGAGAGAGAGAAACATTGATGTGAGAGCAGAATATCAGTTGGCTGCCTCCTGCACATCCCCCAGCGGGGATTGAGCCAGCAAACCCGGGCATGTGCCCCAACAGGGAATTGAACCGGCAACCCCCTGGTACACAGGATGATGCCCAACCAACTGAGCCACACGGGCCAGGGTTTCCATCCAGCCTGTTCTTGAACTTTGGCTTGTAGTGTGAATAACAAAAGAAAAAGACCTTCATAGAAAAGGCCGATGGGGGTTTTATGGTTTGTCTGTTTTGGTGTACAGACTTGCCGGGACCTAAAGGATCGGCAGCAGTTGCTAGCGTACAGGAGTAAGGTGGACAAAGGATCTGCAGAGGAGGAGAAGATCGATGCCATTCTCAACAGCTTGGTGAGCAGCTGCAGCTCCCCCTCTCCAGCAGTCTTGGGGGACAGACAGTTCACAAAGTAGCATCAAGTGTATATAAGGGACTCTGGCTGAGACTTAACTGTAATGCTCTGACAGTCGTTAAACCTAGCAGGTAGGAGGATCTAACTACTGGCAGTATAGAAATGAATGTTACAGATTCAGAACATCCCGGGGGTGGGTATGACCTACATGCTGGAAGTAAGAAGGGGGTGAAATAGATTTGAGCAATTTGGGGAACACAGCCGCTTGTCTCTCGTAGCATGAAATTGTAGAGCTTTCTGTTAACGTTGATCTTAGTTCCCTGTTAGATGTTTTGGAACCTACCTCAGGTCATCGGAAACTAGTGAATCTTGGCCCTGAGGATGGCAGAACCAGAATAAATGCCCAGACTCAGGCTTGTGAGATACAGAAGAGGTGTGTAGTTCGTATCTGAATAATGAACTCCACCATGTATTGTAAAGAATTTCCCCCCTCCCCCCCCAGTTCTCTCTTCCCCAGTCTCTAGCTGTGAGCCTTGTTTTGTTGCACTCCTACGACCTCTCTGCAGGGATCAGTGTAAACTGAGCACCCTTTCTTCTTTCCACAGCAAGTCAGATGGAAGAATTAACTTGTGTCAGCTACCCTGAGACCCGCCTCGTTTCTTCCTTTCCTGCCTGTGAAAGTAGAGTGTGCTGTCATCTGGGAGAGTTACTGTAGCACATCACTTGGTCCTGTCATCAACAGGTGACACCTGCTACTTTTGGGACAGAAACCAGTGCCTGGGCACAGACAGCTTGGGACTGATCTTCTGTCCAAGGGCCATCATCTGAGGGCCAAGGTCTAAAGCTTCAGTTATTGGGAAAGATTCTCCCCACCTGGTGCTCACGTGAAGGTGGGAGTCATTTCTAGACTGGGTCCATATTGGGCAAGATATCTCTTGGTCTGAGAAAAATGACTGCTCTGCAAAAGAAGTCTCCTAGACTAAGAGATGCAGGTGTCATAGGTGGACCACTCGGTTCCTCTCAGCTAATTATGACCCTGGACTTGGTGCTGGACATTGGCAATTCTACTGTGAATGAAGTCAGAACAGAACCAAAATGGCTCTCTCCCAGGGGCCTCAGGAAGGGGTGCCAGTGTGGCCAGGACCTGCTGGAGGTGCCCTCACACCAGATTGCACAGAGCCCTCCCGTTATGACAGGTGGCCCAGACATTGTGTTTCTTCAGCCAGTGTCCCTCCACTGCCCCAGTGTAGCCACTGTTCAAAAACTTGTGGTTCCTCTCTCACCTGCAGACTGAGATGACCTTGTGTGGGTGACGAGAACATCCCCTTTATCATTTCCTCTCCTTCTTCTGCCCCAGACCATACACTTGTATGGAGCTTAGATTCAGCAGAACTGGAGCTCTCCCTTTGTGCATAGATCTCATTATGTCACTAGGAGCTTCTAGAAGTTCCACCAGGGCTAAGCTCAGCAGCATTTCTGACTGTTTGGATATTGAGATGGAGGTTTTAGTTTCATGCTTGGTTTTTAAGAGTTTGTTCTGTAATGCTAAGTTCCTGCCCTGTACCAATATTGGCCTCTCTTCTCAGTGACCGGACTGGGTTTCCCCAAACATGCTAGAGTCCTAATAAAGCTGTTTCTTCCTTGGTGCCTTCTCTTTCCCTCTGGTGGTTTTATGCGAAATGAAGAAATAATTGCCCGATCTCTTGGGACCACTACCCGTCTGCCTCAGTGACTGCATTCAGCAACCTATAACACGTGTCAGGTTATGGAGCACTGATACTTAGAGAAAGCGGGGCGTGTGGTTAATGGAGCCCTGAGCTGGGGATCAAAAGGCCTGGCCTCTTGTTCCGGCTCTACCACTGACTAGCTGTGTGATGCTGGTGGGTCCCTTCTCTCTGATCTCATTACCCTAATCTCTAACAGGAGGGCACGAGTCCAAGCTTGTAGAATTCTATCTCCTGTGACTGGAGTGGATGACATGGGAGATGCTCGTACAGAGGCACACAGCAGGCTTTAACGCAATGTGGTTCTCAACCGGGTGCAGTTATGCGCCCCAGGAGACCTGTGTCAATGTCTGGAGACATTTTTTGTTGCCACAACTGGATGGTGCTACTAATGGATAGAGGCAAGGGGTGCTGCTAAACATGCTACAATGCACAGGACAGACTCCACAATAAAGAATTATCCAGCCCCAAATGTCAGTAATGCCAATGCTGAGAAATCTGGCTTTTAGGGGACTGGACTCCAACTCTTGCTCCTCCACTTTGCAGTCCTCTTTGCAATTCCAGGTAACTTCATATTTGGCTCCTCTCCTAATCATCTCTCTTGCTGTTATAGAAATAGGAGTTTAATTTACTAAGTTGTGCTAAAGTGACTGGCTGGTCTTCAAACAGACAGTCATAGCTTTATTAACTAGTGTAGCAGTTAGGGTTCATTTAGAGAAGCAGACCGCTGGGAGTATACAGTCTGTGTGTCCCTCTGTCTTTCTCTCTAATCTATATGTGAGATTCATCACAGGGATTTGATCTTACTCAAGGATGGCAGTTAGTCAAACAGTCTCTGGAAGGTGTTCTGCATGGCTGGTGGTAGAGCTGGGAATCCAGGTGGCAGGCGGTGGGGAAGGAGAGAGGGGTGAGCAAGAACAAGCTGAAGCCCACGGGGTGGGACTGGAACCCACGTCAGTCCTCACTGCTTCCAACCTTGATGAAGTGGGTGTCCTGCAGGAGAAGCTCACTGGTAGCCTTTGTCACGGGGCTGAAAACAGCGCTCGCCCAGGAGTGTGAAAAGCTGCAAGAAGATCTAGGGGAAGGTATAGTAGTTGTAGGCTCAGCTGCTGCCCACAGCCAATAGGGCCACCAGTGGATACCAAAGAGTCTGTCCCTCCCTTACAAGCATAGACACAAACTGGCTGCTGCTTTACTTCCACCCTCCAGTTCTTGCCCAGAAATCTCTCCTGTGGCACACCTAACTGGAAACATACAGAGAAGGGAAGTCTGGAAAATGTAGGTCACCTAGCCCACTTGGCATGTTACAAAGCCACAACCACTGGCTCCCCATTTCTGAGATTGGACGGGAAGGATGGGCCTGGCATCCGTGCTTGTGCAGGTTAGCCTGTGCGGCACTGGTCATGCCGAGCTGGGAGCTTTGGAGTTCCCCTTTCCTTCTGAGCAGGAAACGTCACTTGCAAGGTTAGGATGACCTACCCACTGTTTTGGTTTGAGGAAGTGTTTCTTAGACAAGAAATTCCACGCTCTTCAAGTGCTGGAGACTTTGCTTTTAAAGAGATCAAGAGAGTGACGTAGCAGCCCTCCTATAAAACGGATTAGAGGAGCAGACACGGAAGATCCCATATTATATGATTCCATTCATATGAAATATCCAGAAAAGGTAAATCCATAGAGACAAAAAGCAGATTGGTGGTTGCTAGGGGCTGATTGGAGGGTGGGGTAGGAGGTAACTCCCTAATGGGTACAGGGCTTCCTTTGTGTGGGGCATGAAAATGTTTTGGAACTAGAGGGGTAGAGGGAGCACAGCATTGTGAATGTGCTGAATTGTTGACTTTTAAATGGCCAGGTTATGTGAATTTCACCTCAATAACAAGTTTTTTAAAATTTAAATGCAGGTGAGAGATGAGTAGTTTTGAATTCTGGTCTCAATTTCACTATTGTTGTATACTAGATTAGAGTTTTGAATGTCATTGATTCCCCCCCAAGCTTTATTGAGGTATAATTGTCAAATAAAAATTATGTATATTTAAGGTATACAACATAATAATCTGATATTGTGAAATGATTACCACAGTCAAATTAATGAACATATCCATCACCTCACAGTCACCTTTTTTATTTTGTGATGAAAACACTTAAGATCTAAGCAAATTTCAAGTNCCCCAAGCTTTATTGAGGTATAATTGTCAAATAAAAATTATATATATTTAAGGTATACAACATAATAATCTGATATTGTGAAATGATTACCACAGTCAAATTAATGAACATATCCATCACCTCACAGTCACCTTTTTTATTTTGTGATGAAAACACTTAAGATCTAAGCAAATTTCAAGTTACAATACAGCATTAACTATAGTCACCACGATGTACATTAGATTCCCCAGAACTCATTCATTGATTTCTTGAACACAAAAAGAAGAGGCTTGAAAAATAACTTCTTGAGTAGTGCTAAGACCTGTATGGTATCCCAGTCTGCAAAAAATCTAGAAGTCCAGAAACTTCTGTTGGGAAAAGAAGGATCCCATACTGCCCTGGTGTAGCACTTTTAGAAGGAGTGAAAGGAATTTGTGTCCTCATGTGGCAGGTGGGGAAAACCTCTAGGTGAGGCTGGTCCCTTTAAGACTCTGAGGCAAGTAATTTGGTAGCTAAGGAGTCATAATGACAATTTTCTTGGGTAGCTCTCCCTGGAAATGTAGTTCTTACCCTGGAGTAATGACGAGAAGAGCCATCTCCTCACTTGATTGGTGAGAGATCTATGTAAATAGGCTTATAGTTTTTTGGCTTCATTTTCTAAAATCTAGATGCCCCTGCCTAGACAAGGGACCATGATATTTAGTTTGGGCTTTTTCTACTCTGTGGGGGAACACAAAGCTTAGTGAAAGGGAAGAATTTCTTTGAAATGTGGCCCAAGGGTTCAGTCCTATTTCTAAAACAGGAGGAAATGGGAGGGAGGAAGTCCTAGCTCCAGAGCACCTGTGAACTCCATTGCTAACAGAAATGGATCTGCTGAGAGAAGGGCCTATGGAGGAACGTTACTCTGGATTTTGTTCAGGTTTTTCATGAATCTAGGTATTCTCGATTCATGGATTCATGGGCAGTCAGTGCTTAGGACTTCTCTGGGACTCACACTGGAACAGAGAAGTGGCTGAGAGCTGCAAGTTCAGAACTGGGAGGAGAGAGGTGCTGAAGCCCACCATGAGAGCTTGTGATGGGCACACACGCCCTCCTGCATAGATTCCCTCTTCTTCCAGGACAAGGAGCCACTCTGATTGCTATCTGTCACTGCAGGAGATGCTGGCTTGGATATAGACATGCTAGAGGACCTTAAGTCCCTTAGGTTTGAGAATGGGATTGAAAAGGAAGACCTCTGCTGGCTGTATTTGACGGGTCGTTATCACGCACGTATGATCGAGGCCTGTGCCCATGCAACCTTCTTCTGCAAGCTACTCCATAATTTGAGGTAAGCGAGGTCTCCAGGGTCAGGCAGATGGAGAAAAACCTCACTGCAAAGAATCCAATTTGCATTAACTTTTTATATTGGCGAATAACTTTGGTAAGTGTCTTCCTACCGTTTCCAACCCACAGTCTATTACTCCTGGTCTGAAAACACCAGAGAAAAGCATACGGGGGTCCCTTGGCTGTGGTTCCATAATAAAGCATGGATTGGTGGTGATTTCCTTTCAGTGGGTGGATTGATTAAATGAGCGATTCATTCATCTCTCTATACATTCATTCACTTGTGGAGGTGACCAGCTTGTCTTCCACAGCTACCAATGACTTGTCATTCCATGAAGATGGAGTAAGTTCCTTTTTGTGGGGCTAATAATGGAATGCTCCCTTAAAGGAAAGCCACCTGGGACTTTGGGGGTCCCTATGGCCAGATGATTTGCTTGAAACCAGGAACACTGATTTGCAGAGAAGCTCTCAGTCCAGTCCTGGCTTCTGATATGTTTGTACAATGTGGCTTTAGACACTTAAATAGAAGTCACGTGAGAGCCAGGTACCTAGGACTAAGCTCCCGGATTCTGTAACTCTAGGTCACTCTTGGAGTATTTAACTTCCCCCCCACCCTGCTCCCCAAGTATACTTCTCAATCTACTTTTCTCTAAAATTAGATGAACTCCTTGTTAATGGAACCAGATCTGAATTAAATATTTTATAGAAACAGCATATACCCAAGGAGGCAGGCTGCTCAATGAGTTTGCTGATTGGCTGACTGAGAAGGATGCACGGAACTACTGGTTGAATCCAAGAAGAGTGGTGAGAAGCCGATATGTGAAACCTCTAGGAGGCATTTTATATTTGGAAGGGTCAGACACCAAGCGAATGCTCTCCTTTCAACCAAGAGAAAAGCCTTAAATAGAATGTGGCTTGTGATGCTTATATGGAAGGAGACTCCAAAACTTTACTTTTTATTTATTTTATTTTTTGGAGCTTTAATTTTTAAAAACTCCAATTTTCACAGAAATATGGAACAAATATAAGGTGGTCATGTAACAACATGAAACAATGCCTTAACTATTCTGAGGTCAGACTTTGTTTATCTTGGGCCAAGGGAATACATCCAGAACCAAGAGTACGTGAACCTCTGGAAAGAGAGGGCTCCAATCCTTGACCCTCAGTTTCTCAGATCTAATGCTTTTCCTCATTACAAACCATTTTATTTTATACATCATGTTTGAAAAAAGCTAAGTTACCTGGTTTCCTGGATCTGTGCAGAACTGAAACAGCCAACTAGAAAGAACAGGTGTGTGGTAGGAGACAGGCACGCTCATCCTCATGACAATGAGCGTTGACAGCTGCTTGCACAGGAAGCGGGAGCAGGCCCCCAGCGTCCGGGATTGATGTACAACAGTGGCTGTTCACCACGATGCTACTGAGTCAAAAACTGGTTTAACGTTCAGACCTTGTGTTTAAGAAGGCAGGGAAATGCACAACACATTTAGCAAAAACAGTGCTCATTTAAAAATGTCTTAACCGCGTTTTGGTCCTTTGAAGGGGTGTGCTCTGCTTTCTAGGAAATTCGCTCAGGTAGAACATTTCATGCTCTTAGTGATGCTACACAGTGGCCCATAGTTGGAACGCCTTCTCTGAACTGCGTGAGGGGCCACCAGGCCGCCGTGTGAGCGGTCAGCGCCGAGAGCAGAGGCTGGCGGTCAGGAGGAGCCCGGCCGAGCGTGCACGTATGTGTGTATGCGTCTGTGTTCACTCCTCAGAAAAGCACTGCACGAGAAGCACGTTGCCAGATGTCTCTTGATTGGATCACACGCCGACGTTCCTGATGACGATGGGTTAAAAGTGGGCATCATTGGAGGCGGCCACCTGGGGAAGCAGCTGGCCCACGTGCTGCTTCAGCTTGTCCCCATCCCTGTGGAGAGGCTGCAGATCTCCACGCGGAGGCCAGAGACCCTGGGTGAGGAGCCGTGTGCCGTAGAAAGGGGGCTCGGGTGTGGCCTTTAGGTGCTGATGAGGCCCTTGTGGAAGGGTCCCTCGAAAGGGGCATCGTTGGGTGCAGCATGCTCAGTTCTCGGCTTTCTAGCCCGGAGGAAAGCTAGAAAGATGGTTTTTCACTTGTTTCTTGAGACCACTTCTCCGCTTAAATGTTTCACAGCCATTTCTCTCCCTTGTGCTCTTGGTGGTGAGATATCTCTCTGGTTCTTTGATACAGAGAAGCTTTCCAAAGGGAGTTCAAATCTAACTGGACCAGTTAGAGTCTGGTGGGTGTTAGCCAGTTCCAAACATTTGGCCTTATGTTTTTAAAAATAACATTTCCTGAATTTTAAAAAATGTTTTCTGTTGATTCCATTTACCAATCTATGGTGGTAGAAGTCAGAACAGTTGCTTCCCAGGGACTGACGAAGAGGCCTGAGGGAACTTTCTGGGGGGGTGGAAATGTTCTAAATCTTGAAAGAGGTATGAGTTACATGGGTGTATGCATTTGTCAGAAATGACCAAACTGTGTACTTTAGATCTGCGTGTTGCGCTGTATGTAAATTATGTGACAAGAGTTGATTTATGTGACAAGAGTTGAGATAAAATAATTGTCTTCCTGTCCCTACAGTTGATGTTCAGGTCCAGCTCCTCTGTACTGTGATCTTTCTGTCTTCCTTTACCCCTCCCAGGTGAGTTCCAGAAACTGGGGATCCGGTGCTTTTACCATAACTCTTTTCTGGTGGGCTGGGCCGACGTGATATTCCTCTGCTGCCTGCCATCTCAGCTGCCTAATATCTGCTTAGAAATCCACACCAGCTTTCGAAGAGAATGCATTGTGTACAGCTTTGTAGCTGCCATCCCAATACCCAGGTATCTTGCTTAGGGGGAGCCCATAATTGGCAGACCTGCTCTGCCTCCTCTGCTGGGGCTCCTACCTGTGGGCGGTGGTCATTCCCAGTAATAAGGTGGAAACAGCATCACCTGCAGGACCCAGCCAGCCTTTTTAATGGTGTCTTCCCCACTTCTCTCCAAACCGCACGTGTGGGTGGGACATTTCCTTTGACGTGCAAATGTTTAGAACTGCAACAGAGCATTGTCTCCCAATACTTGCAGCTGACTCGGGTTCCCCTTGTGCATCAGTGAGAAGGGAAACCACTAGTCAACAGCATGAGGAGTGATTGAGAGCATGTTCAGATGTTATTTTTGTGCCCCTAGTGTCTAGGCCAGTGCCTGGCAATTGGTAACATCCAGTGTCTGTTAGGCAGATGGCTAACCAATGCAACTAAGTAAACGCCCTTGGCACTGCCCCACACCTGTGCTGTGCAGGGGTGGGGGCGTATGTTGTTGGGGTTGAATGTGAACTCAGTAAATCATGGGGTTTGTTTCAGTCCTGGCCCTGCACTCCCTATCTCGATGGCTTTCCTTTCAGGTTGAAAAGGCTACTGAACCACAGCAATATCTTGCGGCCTCAGTATCAGTGTGTTGAAGGTTTCGCCAACATCTGGGGGACCAATAAGGAAATCATAACTGCTCTCCAGGATCCTGTGATTCTTCAGGCTACCTGCCCCTACAATCCTGCTGGTAATGACTCACCCTGGTTTTGGCACTCTTAAAAATTACCTTCCCCTCGGCCTGCTGCTGTCTTATTAGATCCCAGTGTGCGCTCCCTGGGTGAGTGTGGGGGAGCACTGTACAGCTAGATACATTCTCAGCCATTTAGGTTTTGAACAGGAACAGCTTCGGTGGCAAAAAGCACTCTTTATTAGGGAAAGCTGAGAAGTCTGAATACTCAACCCTTTAAGAATGAATCGTAAACTGCCAGAGGGGAGAGCCCATTTAAACAGAAAGATGCAGTGTCTGGGACTAAATAGTTTGTGTGTGTGTGTGTTCTGTGTGTTTTAATCTTCACTTGAGGATATGCTTATTGATTTTAGAGAGAGAGGAAGGGAGAGAGAGACATCGATGTGAGAGAGAACATTGACCAGTTGCCCCCATACATGCTCTGACCAGGGATCAAACCCACAACCCAGATATGTGCCCTGACTGGGAATTGAACCCGCAACTCTTTGGTACAGGGGATGATGTTCCCCACCAACTGAGCCACGCTGGCCGGGCTGGGACGAAATGGCTTTCCTCTGCTCTAATTTTTCCCTAGCCCCTTCTTTATTGGCAAGGACCCTTCTAGAAATTCCTAGAGATGCTTTTGCCATTAGCAATGTCCACGTTAGTCATACCTGTCCTACCAGTGGCAAGGTCAGCACATGATACATTATCAAGGTCACTAACAGGGCTCTTGGCCCAGGGAGGGGGAGTGTTTGCTTATCTTGAGGTTCAAGTGACCAACTTGTCTTGGAAAAAAGGTGGCTGTTCACTGCCTGGAGTTTTACTAGGTTCCCTGCAAACATCTTTGGGGGTACTAACTGGTCTTCCCCTTATCATTGATGCGTAGGAGGAACAATCCTCAATATCAAGTGGTTGGAGGGAGTGTTCTATGCAGCCCTCAACGTCTGCACGGCCAACTCCCTGCCGCACCAACAAGTGCTGCAGCTTCTGAATGAGCTGTTCCTCTCGGCGCACTTTGAGGACTGTGGGAAAGACGGAGCATCTTGCCCAAAATTCCAATTACAGGACTTTATCAGCAAAGAGTATGCCAAGAAGCTGCCTCACAGAAGGTAAGGCGTGACGGCTGGCCGGGCTCATTTCTTTACACTGTTGTCTGGGGGACTTTGTTTCTTTTTTCCTGTCCTGTTATCTTTGAAAATTTATAAAAAGAATACATTCTTGTAAAAAATCCAACTAGTAGAAGAGTGGAAAGTCCTCCTTTGCTCCCCAAGCACCACTTCATAGACTTAACCTCTGACGGATTTTATTTCTTTTTATATATGCATTTACAAATATATTTATACTGTCACTATATTAAAGTGTGGCCATCCATGTCTATATACACACTTTAGGAACATGGGGATTCTATATGCTGTATTTCCACTTACTGTGTCATGGGCACGTTCTCTGTTGGTACCATATCTATTTCATGAATGAGCAACTGCACCGGCACCCAACTGATGCATTTCCATTCATTCATCCGATTTCCCTTGATGGCGCTGTCTCCTCCCTGCCCCAACTTTTACATAAAGGGCTGCACTGAACACTCTTGTACTTGTTTTGTGCACTTGTACCCGTATTTCTGTTGGATGAAAAGCTAGAATAGTATTTCTGGGTTAGAGATGACATATATTTCATGTGTGTGGGCATTTCCAAATTGCATGTCGAAAACATGTTTATTTTTATTTCTACTGGTAGTGTACGAGAGTGCCACTGCCCTATAGCTTCACAGTTATAAGATCAATCTGTTTAATCTTTGATAATCGAATAGGAAAAATTGCCGCCCTTGCCACAGTGCCCTCTTGTCACTAAATTCGCTGGACACTTTCAAACCCTTTTCCCCTTGGACTGTTGAGCGTGCATGCCCTCCTCAGAGCAGTCTCTTCTTGGGGCTTTCCTGACACCCTCCCCTTGCCGTTTTCTTCTGGTCTCTCCAGCCCCTCCTTTGCTAGCTTCTCTTCAGCCCCACCCTTTAATCTGGGAGTTTTCAGGGCTCTGTCCTGGGCCTTTCTTGTCTTTCTACACTTAGTTCCTGAGTATTTTCCACTTTGGGAACTTAGATTGCCAACTTTACACTGGCACCCCTGAGCCTGTACCTCTAGCCTAGACGTCAGTTTTGCACCCAGATTTGTTCACACTCACCCGCCTCCACTCCTACGAGACGTGGCCAAAAGCATACCTGCTCTCAGGCCTGCTCTTCCAGTGTTTCTTTACCAGCGTTCAAGCCAGACTCCTGGAAGTAATCCTTGATTCCTCCCTCTAATTAATCACCATTGGCATGTGATACACTTTCTGTTTGGGGATTTCCCTTCCCCATTAACCTGGGATTCCCTCCACTGCTCTCTTATTTTGGATCTTTTCCTGGCTCTCTCTTCCTCTGGCCTGGCTTACTCCTTCCTTGGGGTGGATCAGGCCCTCCTCCAGTAGCTTCCTTAGAAAAGCAGGCATAGGAAGTAATTGTTAGAGACTATGTCTGAAAATGCTTTTATTCTAACCTAATATTTTATTGAGAACATAGCTAGGCACAGAATTCTAGATTAGAAATAACTTTCCCTCAGAATTTTGAAGGCATTGCTCCATTGTCTTTCAGATTTATTATTATTATTTTTAAATGTCTTTATTGATTTCAGAGAGAGGAAAGGAGAGGGAGAGAGAGAGATAGAAACATCAATGGTGACAGTCATTGATCAGCTGCCTCCTGCGCGCCCCCTGTTGGGGATCCAACTCGCAACCCGGGCATGTGTCCTGTCCGGGAATCGAACCTCAATCTCCTGGATCCTAGGTCGACGCTCAACCACTGAGCCACGCCAGCTGGGCGGTCCTTCAGCTTTAGAGTTCCTCCTCTTTCTTCCATTTCCTCATTTTTTTTGTTAAGAGGATATTTGAGATATTTCCCGTTCCTAATGTCCACGACCCTCTTGTGTGTCTCTTTCTAAATTCAAGGGAAAACACTGGGAAGGATGTCAGCATCACTATCACAGTCATTCTCTAATTATCAGCGCCTCTCAAGACGCACTTAGAGAAATGTACCTACGAACCATTAAATCCACATATTGAGTAGTTTCAGCTGCATTTTTAATTTAACTATGAATTTGAATTAGTTTGATATAGAAAATGAAGAACCTCATTGCCAAGTGGAGGAAACCTTTCTTTAAAAAAAAAAAAATTGATTCTAGAGAGAGAGGGAGAGAGCGAGAGAAAAACACTGATCGGTTGCCTCCCGCACAGGATGACACTCCAACCAACAGCCCCGTTGGTCAGGGCAGAGAACTTGAACGGGAATGTGTACAGCCACATCGGACGTACTCATCAGACAGAAAAGTAACAGCATTTTTCCCACCCCAGGCCTCTCCCCTGGTTTGATCTGACCACCGTGCAACTCTGGGAAACGCCCTTGAGCCAGCATCTCTTAACCAGCACTGCCCTCCAGGACCACCTCATCCACCTGTATTGTAACGAATTTGGCATCATGCTGACCAAAGAACATCAGCCAGTGGTTTCCACACGCTCTCCATCCCTGTGAGAGGAGACCTCAGGACCCAGGAGTCTTTCTCCCTCTACATGGCTGTGCCCTGATCACCACAACTGACGGTGGGGAGTCATGTGACTGTACGGTGTTTGCCATATGTTAGCCACTAAGGAATTAGAAAATTGTACTGATGGCTCTTTAAAATGTAGACAAAACAAGAGGTCCTTTGCATCGGTATATATGTGTATCTCTGGCATTGTGTGTGTGCACTTAAAAAAATATATATATATTTAGTGATTTCAGAGAGAGGAAAGGAGAGGGGGAGAGAGTTGAAACATCAATGATGAGAGAGTCATTATTGATCGGCTGCCACCTGCACCCCCTTGCTGGGGATCGAGCCCGCAATCTGGGCATGTGCCCTGACCGGGAATCGAACCACAATCTCCTGGATCATAGGTCGATGCTCAACTGCTGAGCCACGCCTGGCCAGGCTGTGTGTGCATTTTTTAAAAAATCTTTATTGTTGAAAGTATTACAGATGTCCCCTTTTCCCCCACTGATCCCTTCTACCCCGCCCCAGGCCTTCACCACACTACTGCCTGTGTCCATGGGTTACGCATGTATGCATGTAAATTCTTTGGTTCATCTCTCCCCCACTCCCCACCCCCACCTTCCCTCTGAGACTTGTCAGTCTGTATCTGGCTTTTGGAAGTAAACGAATGAAACTGCATAACCTGACAGTTAAGTAAGCTGCTTCCCCATGAGAGCCTTATTAATACAAATTATATTTCTTGTAAAAGCTAAATTTAAGAAGGTATAATGTCATTATTAGCTTCTTTTCCTGTATCGGTATGAAGCTGACAAATGATACAGCTTGACTTTCCTACCATTTTAGATAGAGAAGTGAACTGTGTGGTAAACAATTATGACTCATTTCATGCTTATTTCAGCTATATGTGACACTTTTGGTACTATCTTATTTAAAGCTGTTCCCATGTAAAGCATTTTAAACCATAGAAAACTTTTTTAAAATAGCTGGCAAACGTTTATATTCAATGGCTAAAAATAATTTTGTAAAATATAGATCTTATTTCTATAGTGCAACTTTATTTCCTTTATGTTTGGCAAATACTTTATGTCAATTATAATACAGCAGGGAACAGCAGCAGCAAGTTGAGAAAGGGGAACAGAACCATTGCATGCTAACTGCTGAAGTGCTTTTGAACAAAACCACTCACTCCATAAGCAAACCACCGTGTCCTAGGTTAATCATTCGCATTTTTCTTTTTTGCATCGTTATGAGTCAGGCAAACTCAATGGTATTGAATGGTTTGAGGTGAAATTTTGTTAGTTCAATTTGGGAAAAAATTAGGCTCATCACCAAATATTGACACTCGGTGTGAATGCTAACTTGAGGCACTGTTCCTTCTCTCAGTAGGAAAAAAAAATGTATTCCTTTGGATAGTCATTCAGGTGTGGGGAACTGGATAGGATGCACCATTGCCCTTCTGGATTATCGTGGCCCTGTAGTGGTTTTTAGGATTCAGAAGTGAGACTGGGAAGAAAAGGAGCAGTTAAATCTATACAACTAGAGAGGAACTGGAGTTATTAAAGCAACAAGGAGTATTTTGTAATTTCTTTTGAGCAGTCCAGTCATGGGTAGACTCTGGCCTGAATTTCATTTTATAAAGGTCTGGCAGCTACCACGTAAAAGAGCCTTCAAACAAACCCCAGACCCTAGTTCATAAGGGTACTTCCATAAGCCATGCTGTTTGTAAGGATAGATACAAACCTAAAATAGATTTAAAAAATACTCCTCTGATGCTGAAAGGGAAAGAACTTCCCCTTTCCTTTTTCTTAAAATATTTTCTTCAGAAAACTTATAACATAAATCCTTTTTCTCTGTTTTTGAGATGTATATAAATATTTTTAAAAGCTTAATAAGCCTTCTGACAGTTTTATATCCCAGGACTGACTTTCTGGGAGGCCTTGGGACCATCTCTCAAATGTGAGCATGCAGGAGGACAGCACCTGGTCTCCCTGAATCTGTGGGAGTTTAGCCCAAGTGCCTGGCTCCAAGTAATCACTTCCTGTTTGTCATAGAGGTGGGAGAAGTTTTTACTATTGGATAAGGACAGTTAACACGTATGTAACGGATTGTGTCTGTCTGCCTACATAAAAGGGTGAGGTTTCCTTGTCTTTGCAGTCTCTTTAGCGGCTTGCCTGTGATGTGCATCACAGTCTGATTTAATGCTCATTCAATAATAAAATTGTTTCTTTCTTATTTATTGATTGATGTTTTAGAGAGAGGAAGGGGGGAGAGAGAGAGAGAGAAACATTTGTTGTTCCACTTGTTTATGCACTTACTGGCTGCTTCCTGTATGTGCCCTGGCCAGGGATCAAACCCCCAACCTTGGCATGTCGGGAGGCTGCTGCAACCAACTGACCTGCTGGGCCAGGGCGCTCCCCACCCTTGTTTTAACGAGAGGCTAAACTGAAACACAAACACCAGGAAGGTGCTGTGAGCTGACGACAGAACTAGGAATAGGGCCAGGAGTTCCAACTCTGACCTCTAATGAAGAGGGGGAAAAGGAACCCCAAAAGACCACATCTCTTCCCCCAAGTCATTCCGTTTGAGCTTTTAAGCTAAGTGAGATGGCTTTTTCCTGTGGCTCAGTGTAATATAACCCCTCATTCTCATCATCAGGGGCAGGTATTTGTGGCTCATAGTCTTGTAATCCTGCTGTTTGCACAAATTCAGATAAGGTCAAGGAATCAGATTTTACCCCCGTATGACCTTTTTGCTCTAAAAATAAGCCTATATTGTCCCTATAGGGAAGACAGATGGTGCGGTTAAATAATGGTTCTTCAATTCCCAGTAGCTCCCGCGTGTGCCGAGAAATTACCTGAAATACAAGGATAATTTTTTAATGGTACTAGCCTGAAAACACAACTAAATCAAAGCTGTTTTACTTACTTTCCTAGGCCTCTTGAATGCTAACCCCTTAAGTTATTTCTATGGGAAAATAAAATAATAACACTGAAAGGCTTACTAACTTGGCCTTATCAAAACAAAGTTCTTAAGAGAAACATAACATTACTTATCTTTTTTATTTTTATTTTTTTTACTTATTTATTTTTTTAAACATATCTTTATTGATTTCAGAGAGAGGAAAGGAGGGGGAGAGAGAGAGAGATAGAAACATCAATGATGAGAGAGTCATTGATCGGCTGCCTAGCCCGCAACCTGGGCATGTGCCCTGACCAGGAATCGAACCCCGATCTCCTGGATCCTAGGTCAATGCTCATCCGCTGAGCCATGCCTGGCCAGGCAACTTATCTTTTTTAAAAGTCCCATTTAAAGGTGTTTCTAGGCCCTTGCATCAGATGGCCATGGATGGGCTCATTTCTTTCTTTTAGCTTAGCAACCTGACCAACCATGTGAGCAAATAATATGTTTAGATTAGGAGCCATGACTCTCTCTGGGAAGGTTAATAAATAACTTGTCTATAAGGAGCTCAGTTAATCTGCAACTAAAAAACAATTATTACACAAATAGTTATTTGATGTGTGAGACTAAAAATAAATCTTAAACACTAAAAAGCAGATATGGAAGTTCCAGCTGTTTTGTAAGTACCTATACTTGTTTGTATATTCGTTTAAAGCATCTTTTTATCACAATTTTCAGTGTTTCTAAAACATAATCTGTATTCATTGAGCACTATGCCGCTTGATATCCTAGATTAAGCTGTGACTGCATTTTCAAATTTTAGTTTTAATCATTGGTCTATTATTAACTCTGCTATTTGCTTCATATCCTGCATCTGGATGAGACTCTCATCCATGAAACTGCTGCTAGAACACAGCCAAAGGAGTATGTGTAATCGATATTTTTCTTTTTCTTAGTTTAAAACTACTGGCCATATTTACAAGACCATAAAATTCATGGCACAGGCAACTCTAAAACTGACACAAAACTGCCCATTAGCCATGTATTTTAGATAGGAAAGATATCTCTCTTCTTGAATCTTACTTGAATTGGTTTTGTTAGGATCCTGGAGATGGTTTGTGGGTAAAAGAGAGTCTACAAAGTTGATTTGCATTTCAAGTGGGAATGCTAATTGAGGTCTGTAGCAAGGTTTCTAGATTATCACAGGTGGCTCTTAAGAGTTCTCATTTATAACTGATGGTGCTATAGTGAGCACCTTGCCTGGTCAGCACCTCACCCTGACTTCTTTTGAATATCCCTTACCTGAGGAGGTTATTGTACAGACTCACTGAGGTTTACACACGGTGCCCCTGGGAGAGGCTTTGTAGTCATTCACTATTAACCAAAAGAGCTATGTGCCTGTTGTAGGCCAACAAAGTCCAGTACTGTTTAATATTCTAATGTAGAAATTGAAAACAATTACATGTGGAATCAAGAAATATAATCCAACCACCCCTCCTCTAATTCAGTGATTCTTAAGGTATGTCTGAGGTTCCCTGATGGACCCTGAGGGACCGCTGATGGACTATAAAGTAATCTAAAACTGTGAGTTCTTTCTTTAATTCTGATAACAAGCAATATACTTTCTTTTTGCCTAAGACATAGAACAACTTACTTGTAACTTACTTGAGTTAATAAGGATTATTAAAACTATTCAGGAAGATTAATATTAGAGTTTTCTAAGGATTCTTAATTCCATATTCTAGGATGGCTGCTCATACTCAATGGTTGGTGTCACTGCAGAGCACCTACCTCACATGGTCTTGAGTGGGTATTTGTATCTTCTATAGTTTTCAAGAAGATTCTATTATTAGTATGTCATCATTGTATCTTGTGTTGATCATGATTTTCAAAGGCTGCTATTTTTGCTTTATTTTTAACTACTGATGATCTTGCTCCATCATTATCAATTTCTTACACACTGCTTAGCCACCTTATTGGAGCGATGCACATTTGCTTGATAGAAACCTATGATTTACTTTAATTAAATCCAAAGACATAATTGTTGTGGTTCAAATATGAATCATCTATCTATACCACCATTATTAAAACAGATGTATAGTTTCCTTAAAATCTGCTTGTTGATTCATACAACAATATGGATTAATTTAAATTCAATTTGTTAACAGAAAGAAGCCAGAGTCAAAGGCTACATATTATTCGATTCCGTCTATGTGGCATTCTAGAAAAGTCAAAACTAAAGGGACAAAAAACATACTAGTGGTTGCCAGGGACTGGGGCAGAGAGATGGGCTGACTACAGAGGGGACGTGGGAAATATCAGGGTGAGAGGATTTTTCTGGATACATGCATTTGTCAAAACCCATAGAACTGTACACTACAAAGAGTTACTTTATGCAAGTTTTTAAAAAGCCAGGATGTTTTGGTATCCATGATGGGATATAGGCTGTGGACAGATGAATCTAACTATATGACAAAGTAAGACATAATGTCATTGAAGCAGGTAGGGACGAAAAGAGCTGACTTTGAAAAATGGTGCTTTGTCTAGGTAGTATAAGGCTAAAGACAAAAATGACTACACAAACACTGCGCTCCATTCGGTAACTGTGTTTCTCATAGGATACGTGTCTATGGCTAAGGAGAGCCAGGGTTCTCACTGCCAGAGAAGATGCTTTAAAGAAGCAAAGAGGAACAGGGGATAAGAAGGACGAGAGGCTACAATAAACCCTGTGGTGTTGGGCGAGAGTCAGAGGTATCAGTGTGAGCGCACAGTGCCGGAAAGTTGGGGGGGGCTGGGCATGTCAAAAGTACACAAGAGCCAATGTGAAAAAACTCCCAAGTGGGGGAGAAGGGACAATTAAGCAAAGACAAGTTCCTGTTTTAAATTTTTTATTTATTGATTTGAGAGAGAGAGAGGAAGGGAGAGAGTGAGAGAGAGAAACACTGATTTGTTGTTCCACCTGTTTATGCATCATTGGTTGCTTCTTGTAGGAGCCCTGACCGGGGATCAAACCCACAACATTGACATATCAGGACGATGCTCTACCCAACTGAGCTACCTGGCCAGGGCTTATAGAAGGTTCCTTAAGATGAGTTCCAATTAAACATGGAAGGAATGAGGGAAATAGAAAAATCATCATTAGAACAACACAGCAATGACTGCTGCAGGCAAAGCCCATCGATGAATGCTAAAATTAGTGGGCAAAACTTGAAGGAGAAACAGGGTATTTCCACAGCCTCAAACTATGTCCTTTATTACAGTGGTAGTTTTACTCTATGTCATAAACTCTCTGATACTACTCCCTCCAGGAGGTGGAGCTTAATTTTCTTCTCTTTGAGTGTGGGGTGGATTTAGTAATTCACTTCTAATGAACAGAATATGAAAGGGAAACACTAACTTCACAGTGAAGAAACCTGGAAGATACCACTGGAACCAAGGGATCAAGATAAACATCTCCAATAATAAGTTGTGTTGATGTCATGTACTGTCTGATCTTATGAGATGAGAAGGGCTCATCACCTCTGTGATAGCCTCCCCCCAAAAGCGTAACCTCATGGGAAACATGAGACAAACTAAAATACCTGACCACTACTCTTCAAAGTGTTGAGATCATGTAAAACAAAGAAAGATCAAGAAGCTGTCACATATTGGAGGAGACCAAGAAACATGACAGCTAAATCCAAGGTTGTATCCCTCATTGGATCATGGAACAACAAAAAGGACATCAGTGGAAAACTTTCAGAAATCTGAATAAAGACTGTAGCTTGTTTAATCATGCTGTACTGATGTTAATTTTTTAGTTTTGACAAAAGGACCATGGTTACATAAGATGTTAACATTAGGGAAAACTGGGTGAAAAGTATACAGGAGCTCTCTGTATTATCTTTGCAACTCTTAGGTAAAACTAAATTATTTGAAAATTAAAAGTTAAAAAACTATTTTTGTCTAGTGGTAATTTATGACACATTGTTATGAATATTTGCTGTTTAGCCCTAGCCGGTTTGGCTCAGTGGTTAGAGCATCGGCCCGTGGACAGAAGGGACCTGGGCTCGGTTTCAGCCAAGGGCAAGTACCTCAAGTTGCAGGCTTGATCTCCAGCCCTGGCCGGGGTGCATGTGGGAGGTAACCAATCGATGTGTCTGACATCGATGTTTCTCTCTGTCTCTCTCTCTCTCTTGTGCTCTGAAAAGCAATGGGAAAAATATTCTCCGTGAGGATTTAAAAAAAAAAAAAAAAAGTTTGCAACAAGGCAAGAGTAGTAAAATTGCTGAGATATTATAAAGCTTATATGGCTATACTTTGTAATATAAAATCTTGCATACAAAAGGAATAAGCAATTCATCTATGTTCTACGAATATTTATCACAGAGTTCTTTTGTTCACTTGATGGAGAGATGTTTAAAATATTTTGAGAATTATTTTCTGAGAGAGAAAGCTGAGGCCCTGGCCAAGTTGCTCAGTTGGTTAGAGCGTCATCCTGACACACCAAGATTGTGGGTTTGATCTCCGGTCAGGGCACATACTAGAAGAAACCAATGCATACATAAATAAGTGGAACAACAAATCGATGTTTCTCTCTCTCCCTCCCTCCGTCTCTCCCTCCTTCCCTCTCTTTCTCTCAAAACCAATCAGTAAATAAAAAAGGGAGAAAGCTGAAATCCATATAATGCTACCTTATCTAGCTTGTCCCTAGAATAAGACTGGCTTTCTTACCCCCTTTACCAAGGTAATGTATCACTACAAATGGGAAAGACAGGATGATGGTTTCTAGAGCTCCTCTGGCCAGGTGAAAAGAAGAATCCATGTTTCCTTCCTTCTGCACTCCTCACCAGTCTCATCTATACATTTACCTTTTCTCTGTCCTCTCAGTGTATTGTAGGAAGGGCAAGAGAAAGGTGAGTCATTTCTGCAGGTGAATCATGTAACTGTAAAATTAAGGAAGTTGAAGAGAATAGAAACTGGCCATAAATTAAGAATAAGGCTTGTAAATGGGGTGCACAGTTCAAATGTAGCTCAGTTTCTTAGCAGCATGTCCAGAATTCTGCACCCTCAAGCAACCTGCTCTTCCCCCACTCCTCCCCCTTTCCCAAAGCCCATGGCTGGGAGAGAGCACAAAAAGATAACCTCACTGCTTAGCTGTTAAGGGATAAACTGTGGATATACTAGGTGCAATAATTACAACGGTGGGCTTAAATATGCTTAGTATACCTGTAAGGAAGGTAACTATGGCCTAAGTTCAGGTACGATCTCTAAAAAGTTACCTAAGTCATAGTATATAATTAGCTTTTGTATGTGGACCTAAGTGTCAAGCAAAGCTTTCCTAATATACCTGTCAATGTCTTCATCTTTGTTTTACTCTAATGACCTCAAGGGGTGGCCACATTTGTCTGGTGACTTTGATAATAAGTATTCCAATGTTTGCTTGTTCAAACTTCTCGGGATGTAAGAATAGACCACTGTGAGCCTGGGGTCTGGGAGTTTAACAACACGACTGACAGAAATAGGAGTCCGGGGAGAAGAAAAGGAGATTGGCTGGAAGACAGACGGTAGCCCTGTTACAGTGCTCTGTGGGCAACCGGATGCACAACTCACCTTCATGTCCTCAAAATCCGTTATCCCCATCTGAGGGAGGTTTGAGCAGTTTACATGGATGAGTTTTCGGCCGCTGATGAAGTTTGTGGTAAAACACTCCTGTCAGTACAATGAGAACATCACTCAAAAGATGTACAGTAAAAGGAAGGAGAGGGAGGGAGGGAGGGAGGGACGGAATAAATCATCTTTTCCATTCTATACTGAGCAAGTTTTAAATTTAATTTTAAATTAAGTTTAAATTTAGTAATAATCCCACATATTTTCCATGTAAGCTTTTGATAAAATTTCATACTGTTCCTTACAATTTTTTGGCATGATACAACCAGTAGTTCTTTCACGCCTCAATTACATGGGGTTACAAAAGATTCCAGATCTTGTGGTGTTTTGTGGTAGCCTAAGAACATAGTTGACATTAATGAAATAAAAGGATTCACTCTATCTTTTAAATAAAACTATTTTGATTAATTGGCTATTTAAATCAGTATTGTTAGGTACTCATGATACATATGACATATTTGAGACACTTAAGAGTAATAGTGCAAGTTCAAGTTAGGGAGCTAAAATAGCTTCACAAAGTACCATAAAGTCTACCTTGGATGAAATCTATTTAAAAGTTTTCTATGAAAAGAGGCCTATATAAATGTCTTGGTCTTTATTCAAGGATCACAGAGAAGTGAAGTGGCTGCGATGAAGACGAAAAACATACAAACATGACCCTCCCTCCCTGTCCCCAAATCCAAATATACGTCAGTGGAAAGGCCAAAACTAAAATCCAAGTTACCTCTAACATAGCCCAGGGCATTTCTATAATCCTTCTAGTCAGGAAGAGGCAAGAGCTCAGGTAAGGCAGAGGAACAAGAGGTAGATGGATGAGAATATTCCAGAAAATGTTACTTTTGTATACCTGGTACTGAGGAAAGCCTAACTTGCTAATCCACTTCGCAACTTCTTCTGGGCTCCATTTAAGACACTCAAATTGTAGCTTAGTCCTTTCCTCTGTCTGGGTTTCTTTATCACAAGGTACCAGTTCCATCAACTTTAGGGGCAAGTCTACATCTTTTTCACTAATGGAATTTCTTAAGTCCCTCTGAGACTCTGAGGGAGGTGAGTAGAAGTCATTACTGGAATCAGTGAAGTCACCCGGTATTGGGGGTTCTTCTGGGAACTCATCACCTATATTTTCCAAGCCTACTTCTCTTACTGTGAAAGAGGCTAACGAAGAGTCTTCCACAACTTTTTCAGTTTCTTGTATGAACAACTTTCTTGTTTGATAGTCAGAATTCTCTGGCCTGTCTTTGTCTACAAAATGCTTAAATTTGATTCGCTCCGGCCTATCTTCCTTGGTAAATTCTTCCTGTGCCTCTTGTCTAAGCAGTGGTTTGGCTTTATCGGGTAACTCTAAATCTTTTTCCTTAGTTGGCTCTGTTTGTGTCCTCTCTTGAACCTCTGGTCTCATCTTCTGTAGTGGCACTTGGCCCGTGTTCTCAGTTGATTTTCTCTGTGTCTTTGGTTCTTCCTTTGGAAACCCAGGCGTAGTCTGTTCTGGAGGCTCTAGATCTTTCTCTTCAGTTGACTCTCTTAGTGTGTCCCCTGACTTGGACTTCTGTGGTGGTGCTAGTCCTATCTCCATAGTTGATTTTCTCTGCTTATTTTTTTGAACTGTTGCTTCAGTATCTTCTGGTGGTTCTAGAACTTTCTCCACAGTTGACTTTCTTTGTGTCTCCTCTTGAATTTCTGGTTTTGTCTTTTCTGATGACTCTAGGCCTCTTTTCTCAATTAGTTTTCTTGATTTTTCCTCAGGAAACTCTGATTTGATCTCTTCTACTGGCTCTGGAACCTCGCCCTTGGTTGCCTTTCTTCCTGTCCCCTCAGTAAACTTACTTGGTTTCTGGTCTGGAAACTCTGGTTTAGTCTGCTCAGGTTGCTCGGTCCCTTTCTCCTCAGTTGGTTTTCTTGCTATCTCCTCTGCAACCCCTGGCTTAGTTTCTTCTGGAGGCTCTAGACCTGCCTCCTCACCAGACTTTCTTGGTTTCTCCTTTGGAAACTCCAGTTTGGTCGGCTCCGATGGCTCTGGCCTGTTCTCCTCAGATGACTTTCTTTGTGTCTCTTCTGGAAACTCTGGAGTGGCCATCTTTGGTGGCTGTAGATCTCTCTCTCCAATTGATTTTCTTGGCTTCTTACTTGGAAATTCAGGCTGGGCCTGTTCTGGAGGTTCTAGACTGGACTCTTCATTTTGCTCTCTAAGTAATTCCTCTGGAAACCCTCCTTTGATCTCCTTTAGTAACTCCAGTCTTGTCTTGTTGGCTGCGGCTCTTGGAGCCTCAGACTCGGTTTCCTTTGGTAGCTCCAGATGTGTTTCCTGAGCTAACTCTACGACTACATCCTCGGTAACATCTGCTTTGGCCTCTTCGGATGGCTCTAGGTCTGGGTCCTCCGGCTTTTCATCCATAGTGACCGCCAAATCCTTGAGAAACTCTATCATCTCTCTAGTTACCTCTGACATTACCTTTTGGGGTATCCCTGTCTCAATCTCGCTTGAAAGGTCTGCCTCTGATTTCTTGGAAAGCTCTCCCTCGAACATCCAGGTTGGTTTTAGGTGTGGGTGCATGTTCTTAGCGCTCGCCAGCGTCCGGTCTTTCAAATTCTCTTCCTGCGCCTCTGGCTGTGGCTCTTGGTCAGTCTTTTCAGGTAGCTCCGGGTCTGCCTCTGCCGTGATGTCTGGTTCGGCATCTTCGGCTATTTGAAGAGGCCCAGGCCCCAGATCTTCACCTTTCCGGGGGCCAGAACCGTCCTCTTCTGGGGCTTCAGCCATGACGCAGATCGGCGAGGCGCCCAGGCCTCCTAGCAACCCCGACTTCCGATAGCGTCTCTATGGATACCACGATTTCCGGCCGGGTCTTCCGGGCTCTTCCCGGGTTTTGTTTGTTCTTGCCGCTCTCTGACTTTAAAAACCTGCAGTCAGAATCGCGCAGTAGCCTCCCCGGGTCGAGGTCCGCGTCCCCTCGCGTCCGC